GGATGGCCTCTCAGGATATCTTCTTCGAGGCTCTAGCACCTACAGGAAAATAAGGCAACTGAGTCAAGCCTGGGCTGGGTTCAGCCCAGTCTCACTTTCCAAATATACATCCAACCTGAGGAAGGATATATACACAGCTCTGGATATTTATTGATTCCTGAATCAGCATGGTTTTTTAGAGAGGACTTCCTTTCATCCCTGAGTTAATTTCCTGTTCTTGAAAAACATTACTGAAATATAGAGTAGGGAGTTAAATTCTCTCCTCCATAGATAGCCTGTACTAATTGATGGAAAGTTTAACATCATTAAAATAGCAATCCTGGGGGTGCCTCCGTGGCTCAGTTGGCTAAGCATTCAACTCTTAATTTCAGCTCAGGTTATGATCGATCCTCACATCAGGCTCCATGCTCAGCAGGGAGTCTGGTGGAGATTCTTCCTCTCCCTCACCTCCTACTCATGGTTTCTCATGCTCTCTTTCTTTCTCTCTCTAAAATGAATAAATAGGGCAGCCCAGGTCACTCAGTGGTTTAGCGCCGCCTTCAGCTCAGGGTGTGGTCCTGGAGACCGGGGATTGAGTCTCATGTCAGGCTCCCTGCATGGAATGGAGTCTGCTTCTCCCTCTGCCTGTGTCTGTCTGTGCCTCTCTCTCTGTGTGTGTCTCTCATGAATAAATAAATAAAATCTTTTTTAAAAAAGAATAAATCTTTTTAAAAATGGCCACAGTGCACAAATTTATCTACATGTTCAATCCAATCTCTATAAAAATCCCAGCTGCCTTTTTTTGCATGAATTCACAAGGGGATCCTAAAAATCATTTAGAAATACGTGGGGCTCAGAACAGCCAAAACAACTTTGAAAAAAAAACAAAGTCACAGGACTCACATTTCCTGACTCCGAAACTTCCTACAAATGTAGAATAGTCAAGACTGTGTGGTATTGGCATAAGAATAGACATACAGATATAAATGAAATAGAATTGAAATTCCAAAAATAAACCCATTTACTTATGGTAAATTTGTTCTTGATTTGCATACCAAGACAACTCAATGGTAAAAGCAAAGTCCTTTCAACAAATGGTGCTAGGACAATTGAATATCTACATAAAGAAGCATGGAATCATATCCCTACTTCATACCACATACAAAATTAATTCAAAATGATTTGAAGACCTAAATGTAAGCTTAAACTATAAAACTCTTAGAAGAAAACATCAGAGTAAATCTTCATGACTGTGAAGTAGGTAATGGTGATTTATTTATTTATTTTTTTAAAGATTTTGTTTCAGAGAGCACAAGCATGGGTGGGGCGGGCGGGGCAAGGGGAGAAGCAGACTCCCCACTGAGCAGGTAGTCCAATGCAGGACTCGATTCCAAGACCCTGGGATCATGACCTGAGCTGAAGGCAGACATTTAACCGACTGAGCTACCCAGATACCCAGTAATGGTTATTTAGCTATAACACCAAAAACACTAGAAACAAAGGAAAAAAATATATAAATTGGACTTAATCAAATTTAAAAATTATTTGTGACTTAAGGATACCCTTAAGAAAGTGAAAATAAAATCCACAGAGTGGGAGGCACATATTTGCAAATCATATATCTAATAACTATCTAGTATCCAGTATATATATAATGAACTCTTATTACACACTAATAAAAGATGAGTAACCCAGTTAAAAATTGGCAAAGTATTTGAATGGGTATTTCTCTAAACAAAATATAGAAATGGCCAATAAATAAATGAAAAATGCTCAATGTCGTTCATCATTAGGGAAATGCCAATCAAAACCACAGTAAGATACCCATTTATACCCACTAGAATAATAAAAAAAAAAAAAACACAGAAAATAACAAGTGTTGGTGAAAATGTAGAGAAAGAGGAAACTTTACTCACTGCTGGTGGGAATGCAAAATGATGCAACCATTTAGGAAAGCAATTCGGCAGTTTCTCAAAATGTTAAACATAAAGCTACCATAAGACCAAAAATTCCACTCCTAGGAATCTACTCAAAGTATTTCCTCAAGAAATGAAAACATGTATCCACACAAAAACGTGTACACAAATGTTCATAGCAGCAATATTCATAATAGTAGAAACAAGTTTCCAACAACAGAACAGACTTTTTAAATGTTGTATATCATCCATGCAATAGAATATTAGCCATAAAAAAGAATGAAGCACTGGTACATGTCACAACATAGATAAATCTTGAAAACATTATGTTAAATGAACATTTTCAAACACAAAAGGCCATATTTTATGTGTTTTCATTTGTATTAATGTCCAGAACAGGCAAATCTATAGAGAAGACAGTAGATCAGTGTTTTCCAGAGTCAGTGGGAGGGAAAAATTGGGGAGTAACCACTAACTGGTATGGGGTTTCTTTTGGGGTCATGAAAATGTTCTATAATTAGTGACAAAGGATACAAATTCTGTGATACTAAAACATATTGAACACTTCAAAAGAATAAACCTTAGAATATGCAAATTATATCTCAATACAAAAATTAACGAATAAGTGAAATATGTGGCATGTTAGAACATGATGAATATAGATTTAAAAGTCATTATTGGCACGAGTCAGCTACTAACTACGGAGGAGCATTGTTAGTGGCCATCCGTAGCAAAATAAGGGTTTAGTCTAAATGATTTATTGAGTCTCTTCCAAATCTAGCTTCCAATGACTCTCTCAATCTTCATAATCAAGAAGTTCAAAAGAACTGCTGGAAAAGTCAACTCTAGAAAAAACCCCAGCCTTTACATCTTTCGTATCTCACTTAAGGCAGCTCTATTTTTGCATATTGGGCATTAATCTCTGTTCCTGTTTATAAAAAGTGACTACGAATCGATGGAATCTCTAAAAGACTATAATATCCCCCGAAGATTTCTGATTGATTGTGAGCTGCATGGAGAGAAATGCTGAGCTAAAGTAATTTGTAAAACTGAGTATCTCTGTAAGTTCAAGAACAATTTTCGTAAGGGTTTCATGAAGAAAGAGAAATGGGTAGCTGTTGGCTTTTTTGAGCCAAGGTGTGAACATGCATTGTCATGTTCATTGTTGACATAAAAGTCAATGAACATAGCCATTGTTGACATAAAAGTAAAAGGTAAAGGGGGTGCCTGGGTGACTCAGTTCAGGTCATGCTCTCTTGGGTCATGGGAATCGAGCTTAGCATCGGGCTTCATGCTCATCGAGAAGTCAGCTTGAATATTCTCTCTCTGCCTCTTCCCCAACACACACACTTTCTCTCCAAAATAAATAGATATATCTTGGGGCAGCCTGGGTGGCTCAGCGGTTTAGTGCTGCCTTCAGTCCAGGGCCTGATCCTGGAGACCCAGGATCGAGTCCTGCGTCGGGCTCTCTGCATGGAGCCTGCTTCTCCCTCTGCCTGTGTCTCTCTCTCTGTGTCTCTCATGAATAAATAAATAAAATAGATAAATCTTTTTAAAAAAGTAAATTATACGTGATTTGTAAGGACACAGACCTCGTATGAGGCATACGTACAGTGGTTAAGAGTTGGGCTCTCACAGCAACTTCTTGCAAGATACATCTATGAAGGCAAGGGAAACAAAAGCAAAAATGAACTATTGGGACTTAAGGTAAAAAGCTTCTGCACAGCAAAAGAAACAGTCAACAAAACTAAAAGACAACCTACAGAATGGGAGAAGATATTTGCAAATGACATATAAGATAAATGGCTAGTACCCAAAATCTATAAAGAACTTATTAAACTCAACAGCAAAGAAACAATCCAATCATGAAATGGGAAAAAGACAAAACAGAAAAGACAAAAGACACGAACAGAAATTTCACCAAAGAAGACATACACATGGCCAACAAGCACATGAGAAAATGCTCCGCATCACTGGCCATCAGGGAAATACAAATCAAAACCAAATGAGATACCACCTCACACCAGTGAGAATGGTGAACATTAACAAGACAGGAAACCACAAATGTTGGAGAGGATGTGGAGAAAAGGGAACCCTCTTGCGTTGTTGGTGGGAATGTGAACTGGTGCAGCCACTCTGGAAAACTGTGTGGAGGTTCCTCAAAGAATTAAAAATAGACCTACCCTATGACCCAGCAATTGCACTGCTGGGGATTTACCCCAAAGATACAGATGCAGTGAAACACCGAGACACCTGCACCCCAATGTTTCTAGCAGCCATGTCCACAACAGCCAAACTGTGGAAGGATCCTTGGTGTCCATCGAAAGATGAATGGATAAAGAAGATGTGGTCTATGTATACAATGGAATATTAGCCATTAGAAACGACAAATACCCACCATTTGCTTCGATGTGGATGGAACTGGAGGGTATTATGCTGAGTGAAGTAAGTCAATCAGAGAAGGACAAACATTATATGGTTTCATTCATTCGGGGAATATAAAAAATAGTGAAAGGGATTATAGGGGAAAGAAGAGAAAATGAGTGGGAAATATCAGTGAGGGTGACAAACCATGAGAAACTCCTAATTCTGGGAAACGAACAAGGGGTAATGGAAAGGGAGGTGGGGGGGATGGGGTGACTGGGTGACGGGCACTGAAGGGGGAGGCACTTGATGGGATGAGCACTGGGTGTCATTCTATATGTTGGCAAATCGAACTCCAATAAAAAAAAAAAGAACTTGGGCTGTGCAGTCACCTGTCTAGGTTGAGATCCTGGATCTATCCCTTACCAAGCCACCTGTACCTGTTTTCCTCATCTGTCACATACCACATAGTATTTGTCCTTTCCCATAAGACAGTTGTGAAGATTAAATTAGATGATACTCATAAAGCGCTGAGAAAAATATCTAAGCCATGGCAATGTTAGCATTCTCAGTTTCCAGTAAATACTCCAAATGCTTAATGAGCATTTTAAACACACCTGGCATTACTTGACAAGTACTTGTTTCCAATGAATTGTGTTGTAACCCAGATTCCCTAGTAGTTATTTATTGTTATACAGTGAGATTTTTCATATTGTAAATAACACTCTTTTTTTTTTTCAGAATAAAGGCAAGAAAACGTCACTAACAAAATGAAGATCCTACTAATTATATTTGTCTTAATCCTTTGGACTGAAACATTGGCAGATCAGAGTCCAGGTACCAGTATATTTTATCATCATTTAGGAAAATAAACATTTTTATGTCTTAACTAACATTCATTTTAATACATAGAAACAAAGGATTTATTTCTTTAACAATCAAAACAATCAAAGCAGACAGCATTGACTTGTAGTTGGATCAAGCAAACTTAATCTTTCAAAGATGAGAAAGAGAAAGCCATGGGCAAAAGGCATGAATTATGCTACACCTGACTAAAAAAGCTTTAATTATTCATTGATTTGCTCAGGTCCCAGTGTTCCATGTCTCTGTGAATAGAGCCAATGCCTTTGTTTTGTAGGTCAGTCTGCATCCTAGGATTTCCTGACAAATTTCTGAGTTATTTTGAAAGAGAGAGCAATTGTTAAGCACATCACTGATTTCTAGTGTGGAGGTGGCTGACTGCTAAAGTGGATGCTGGTGGTGCCTCCCCTGGGCCCGACTCTTTTATTAGGCAGAACCCGACTCGTGGTCCCCCACCCCCTCACCCAGCTGCTATAAATATTGCCTGTAACAACACACAGACATGGTCCATTTTCTCAGGAGAATTGCTCTTGGCTTTTCTAGAGTCAGCTTATGCAGGACATTGTGCCCATAGCCCTGTGCTTCTTTCCTGCAATTTCTGGAGATAGTCTGCAGCCAACAACTGAGTGAGTGATGAGTATAACAAATTGGCCCTCTTGCCTTAGAGAGAGGCATGCTCCACAGTCCTCTCAGATCAGGAAAACACGTTGCTTTGCCTCTCTCCTACTTCCCTTACGCTGCTTCCCCTTGGCGAAGCCCCGCCTCCAGTCCCTGTCCCAGGATCTGCTTCTAAACTCTCCAACCCAAGACACCTGCTTGCTTGATATGGTTTCTCAAAGTTACTCTTAGTCCAAAGACCACTTTGGGGGCTTTCTTGTTTATTATTTAGTATAATGTCAGAGTTTGGGGTTCCACGAAAGAAAGAAAGAAAGAGAAAGAAAGAAAGAAAGAAAGAAAGAAAGAAAGAAAGAAAGAAAGAAAGAAAGAAAGAAAGAAAGAAAGAACATCTCTGGTATAGAGTTGAGAAAGAAAAAGAAAATTATTGCTTAACTTTACAAAAGTCCTCTTGTTTGATATCTTCACAAAACACAGTATAACTTCTTCTGTTTGACTTCCAGAAAACACTTTGCTTGGCAATCTGAGTTACTCTTGACCTAGGGCATAGTATCAAATGAGTATTGTGGTCTCAAATGTAAAGGCTGAACAATCAATCACTTTGTTTAGGTTTGTGGTCATCTTATTTTGATAGGGCCAGGCCCTGAGTATGCAGATGTCGTGTTTCTGGTGGACAGCTCCAATCACCTGGGAACTAAGTCCTTGCCCTTTGTGAAAACGTTCATCAGCAAAATCATCAGCAGCCTCCCCATCGAGGCCCACAAGTACCGCGTGGCCCTGGCCCAGTACAGCGACCAGCTCCACAGTGAGTTCCAGCTGGGCACGTTCAAGAGCAGGAACCCCATGCTGAACCACCTCAAGAAGAACTTCGGCTTCGTTGGTGGCTCCCTGCGCATAGGCCAAGCCCTCCGGGAGGCCCACAGGACCTACTTCTCCAGGCCCGACAGCGGGAGGGACAAGAAGCAGTTTCCCCCGATTCTGGTGGTCCTGGCTTCGGCCAAGTCCGAGGATGACGTGGAGGAGGCCTCGAAGGCCCTGCGGGAAGACGGGGTGAGAATCATCTCCGTGGGGCTGCAGAGCGCGTCTGAGCAGGAGCTGAAGGCCATGGCCACGGGGCAGTTTCATTTCAACCTGCGGTCGGTCAGGGACCTTGGGGCGTTTGCCCCAAACATGACCCAGATCATCAAGGAAGCCACCCAGTACAGGGAGGTAGCGGCCCTGGACGATGTAAAAGGTAAGGAAGGCCGGGTTAAGGAGGCACCAGTCTGGGGCAGGCGGCTCTGAGCATTCCTCCCTCATTGCCTGCAGCTCACCTTCTGGTGTCCACGATCCCCCATGCTGAGGTCCTGGACACTTCTGCACACCCCTGTCAACTCTTACGGCCATGTTTGCTTGTGCCTTTTCTCCGACAGGCATCCTCTTGCACCACTCCTTTGTCTTCTTACAGCTTGGATGCCTCCTGACATCATTTAAATCTCGGCCCAATAGTCCTATCCTGTTGCAAGGCTTTCCTTTCAAATTTCTTTTTTGTGTCTCTCAGTTCCCTGTGCACGTTTGAGGACAGAAGCACTTCCCAGAGTGAAAAATTAATCATTCCTGTGTTGGTACCTTCCACCAATGCACATTGTTGGTCACACATTGAAGGCAAAATTGGGAACGTCCATGTGTATCTCTGTATTCTTCGGGCCTACACGGTGCTTGACAATGAGCTAGTGTTCTATTTCTTAGTGAGTGAAAAAGTCTTATAGATAAAGAAAGAAGTTCAGAGGGATGCCTGGGTGGCTCAGTCGGTTAAGCATCTGCCTTCCATTCAGGTCATGATCTCAGAGTCCTGGGATCGAGCCCTGCTGCCAGCTCCAGCCCTGCTTCGGGTTCCATGCTCAGCTCCCTGCTTCTCCTTCTCCCTCTGCTGCTCCCCCTGCTTGTGTGCTCTCTGTCAAATAAATTAAAATCTTTTTTTTATGGTGAAAAAATTTATATTTAGATTTATAGCTGGCTGGACTCAGTTTAGATGATTCCAATTTTGTTGGCAATATCCAAAGCATCATAGTCAGGAGCCAGTCGAACATATGCTTTCTTCTCTCCGGCATCAGGCCTGATCAAGGTGTTGACCTTGGCCACATCAATGTCATAGAGCTTCTTCACAGCCTGTTTGATCTGGTGCTTATTGGCCTTGACATCCACAATGAACACAAGTGTGTTGTTGTCTTCTATTTTCTTCATGGCTGACTCAGTAGTTAAGGGAAACTTGATGATGGCATAGTGATCAAGCTTGTTTCTCCTGGGGGCGCTCTTTCGAGGATATTTGGGCTGCCTTTGGAGACGCAGGGTCTTGGGTCATGGGAATGTAGGTGACATGTGGATCTTGTTTTTTTTTGTGACTGTGCATGCCTTTCAGCACCGCTTTCTCAGCTTTCAAAGCCTTTGCTTTGGCTTTGGCTTTGGGAGGGGCAGGGGCTTCCTTCTTCGCCTTCAGCACCATTTTCATGAAAGGGCAAATAAATTAAAATCTTAAAAAAAGAAAAAAGTTCCAAGTCTGTTCTCTGGCCCTCACAGTCCTGGCACAAGCATGGGGCACCTGGTGAATACTCCGTAAATGCCTGTCAGCTGATGCAGGGCTTCCCTGAAGCATGTTAGGCTTCCCCTAAGTGGGAAGGATAGCTTTCCAGTGAGACCAGGCAGAGAAGACTATATCTCCCCTCAGTTATAGAGTAGAGCCATGCAGCGGGCTGCAGTTTTGAGCCTACCATCTGCTCTGTTGGCTTATCCCCTCCTGCACTGTTTTATTCTCTTTATAGGTAAAATCACTCTAATGAGTGTCAGCACCTGCTAAACCCTGGAGTTTGACTCATTCCCCTTCTCAATTATGCAATCATTTTGTGCTCTTATTTTTTTTTTTTTACATTGAAGACACACTTTCCCCCCACATTTTAACATTTTGATATTAGGATGTGTCTTGCAGTGATGCTTTTTTTTTTTAATTTCTAAGAGCTGCCATTAAATAAAAGTATCCTTGGCAGTAGACTGGACTTTGAAGAAGTATTAGAAATATTTCTGACAAGTTTATGGGTATGAATGAGACAAATTACTAGCTCAGATTGAACTGATTCAGTGCCATTTCTTGTATAGTGTAGCACCTTAACTATCACATCTCCCAACATAAAATTTTCCCCAACTTATTTTCTGAGAGCCACCGAGAGTTTTTCATATGGCAGTACAGACCATTCCTCTCAGGCTCCATCATCCATGTTGATGCCTGTTGTGTGTACATAGCTGCTTGACAGCAACATTTTACTTCAGTCACTGCAGCTGGTTTCCCTGGTGGGGAGGTCAAGGGACGGCTGTTTCTCAGCTTTTTCCCTAAGCAGCCACTCACCATAACCACCAGGTCCCATATCTGCCTTCCTGCCGGTCCCTGGAAATCCCAGTATTTCACACAGAAATGCGAAAGTTCTCCTTCTCATCTGATTTTATTCTTGATCCCCTAGGCCAAAAAGGAGGAATACTTATAATCCCATTCCCATGACTTACAATGTCTCACATGAAAACTGCTTTGTGTCTTAAGTGAGTTTTCCACAAAGACCTCAAAACAGAAGATTTTTGAGTACAAATAGTTTACTTGGCAGGTGATCCCAGACAGCATTAGGAAGGAATGGATAAACTGAGACAGAAGCTGCCCATGAGGTGTTGATGGGCAGGCAGGATGAGTCAGTGCACAACCCCAGTGAGGCACTCAATAAGTGTGCCATACTCATGAGAGGCTCCCACCATTCTCTCCAGACTAAGGTGGAAAGACTTCCTGGCAGAATGGATTTTCCTGGCACTCTGCAGGCAATGATGGGCCATTCTGAGCAGGTACTATCTGGTTCCAAGACTTAAGGAAGTCCTGCTGTGGTACAAAGCTCTTTGAACACCAGGTCAGAAGCCCCAGATGCTGCCACTAGGTGGCTGTGTGAACTTGGGGAAGTGATGTCATCTCTGAGCCTTGCATCATTCTTCTCATTTGTAAATCATGGGAGCTGAGATGACCTTCAAACTTTCTTTCTGCCCCACCATTACCGATTCCATGGCTATAGCTATGGCTTGATTTTGTAGTAGAGCCAGTTCAAGCCTTAGCAACCAATAGATTCCCTGAATAATAGGAAGTTTATTTCCCTTGTAGCATTATAGGGCTTGTGCTCAAGGTGACCAGTTGCCTCTCCTCTATTCAGATACTTGGGTTGGTGGAGGGTCTTCTATCTTCATGTATGACTTCCAAGGTGCCCTGGGGAATGTTATACAGCTGGTGAGTGGGGAAAAAAGATGAAAGATCACTAATGGGAGGGTTTTATGGGATAAGTTTGGAAGAGACAGACATTATTTTTGCTCACATTTCATTATCCAGGTCGTAATCCCAAGGTCACACCTAACTCCAAGTGAGACAGGGATGTCAGGTCTAGCTCTATGCCCAAGAAGAGGAAATGGGTTTTAGTGAGTATTTACAAGGCTCTGCCACAGTTAGTGTTGCTCCTGAGACACCAGACACCAGGGAATCCCTTTCCTTCCATTTTCCTGATTTCTCACTCCTGCTGCCTTGGGGAAATAGCAAGTACTTATGGTTTATATTCTTCCTTCAGAGGAGAAACCCTCCTGTAACCTTCCACCCTGGGGACCTGGGATCCTCCAACCCTATAGGTGGCTGCTTCATTTTTCCACCTTCTTAGAGGGTTCTGTGCGCTATTGTGCTTCTCTCCTCATAATTTACTTCACAGCAACATAGCACAATAAGGTTTTGCTTGATAGGACAACTATCCTTGCCTTTAGAAGTTAGGAGTAAGAACTTCAGAGTAAGTAAGGTCTAGATTCAAACCATGGATTGGCTACTAATGGCCTTGAGTAAGTTACTTAACCTCTGAGTTTCAATTTCCTTACCATAACATGAGGATAATAATGCCTACCTTGATATGGATGAGATGGCTTGTATGGCATTTGGCACACAGTTTACTATTATTCACAGTAATTGCTATTTGCAAATAAATACTAACCTAAGTAGGTCATGCTGGGAGTTTGTTTCAGCCAACTGTGTGGGTGCAGAGTACATTGGTAGATTTATGAGAAGTATTTTTCATTTGAGTTCTCACTAGGCACCAGGTACTGCAGTGGTAAGGATAAGTAAGACATATCTTCTGGCTTCTAGAACTCACAATCCTAATGGGCTGCTCTTGGCAAGATTGAGCTTATCTCTTGGCTACACTTTCCACAGATGTAGTTCCTCCACCTGTGCCTGGAGTAGGCATTTTCTGTGCATATGGTGTACTGTTCTCGGGATTCCAGATTTATACCACCAACTGCTTACCTGGCATCTTCAATAATATCCCAAACTTAGCATGTTTGAAATGGAACCCGAATCCCTCTTGCATCTTGTTCTTACCGTCTTCCCTATCTTGAAAAAAGGTACCACCAATATCAACTCATAGTTCATGCCAAAACCTAGTTTTCACTACTTCTTCTTTGTCTCTTCACACTGACATCCAGTTTACTATCCAGACCATCTCTGTTCTACATCTAATTCATGTATCAAAACTACCCTGTTGTTTCATCTTACTTGCTATTATTCTTGTCCAAGAAACATTATTTCTTTCCTGGACTAGGGCAAGTATTTCTTACTGGACATCCTTGAAGTTGTTATCTCCCCTCAGCAATTGGGGTGATATTTTAAAGATTTAAATAAGATCGTGTGACTCCCATATGACTTAGGCACTGCTTTTCTCTGGCCTCATCCATCATTGCTCCCCTCACTCACTGTCACCAGCCACTCTGTTCTTGCTTGTTCCTACCTCCTCCTGTCCCTTCTGCCAGAATTATTCTTCCTTCAGAACATGTGGCTAAATCTGTCTCTAAATGCCTCAGCCTAATGTGATGCTCTTGGAGGGGCCTTTCCTGACTTTTTTATATCTCAAGTAAATTAGTCTTCATCCCACATCCCCATAATAGTAACTCAATTGACTTACTTGTTTTATTTCCTTGTGAGCACTGAAATAATCTAATTTAGCTATCTGCCCTCCCTATAGAATGTCAGCTTCCTGAGGTCAGAGATATTTCTGCATCCCTGCATCCTAGCACTTGAGAGTGGTGGTGGTGGTGATTGTGGTGGTAGTCATATTAGTGGTGGAGGACACAGAGGTGGTGGTGGACATGGAGATGGTGGTGATGGTGATAGTTGGTGATAGTGATGGTGGTTGGTAATTGTTGGTAGTGGCAGAGGTAGATGTAGAGATGGCAATGGTGATAGTGAAGTGAAGGTGGAGATACAGGTGGCTGTTAGTTTTTATTGATGTTGGTGATGATAGTGGAAGTGGATGTGGGGGAATTGGTGGGTGGTGATGGTGGTGGAGGTAAGAGTAGTAGAGGTGAGTGGTGGTTGGTGGTGGGTTGGTCATATTGGTGGTGATGATGGTCATGGAGATCATCGTGTGGTGGTGGATATAAAAGTTGGTAAGAAGCACTCTTCAGATAGAAGGAACATTATTGTAAAGATTCTGAAGTCAGTGACCTTGTAAGTCTTGTTAAAATTTTTTATCTGTTTTTTATTAAAAGAAAGCAATGCTAACTACATTTGTCATGACTGCCTCTATTTTCACTAATTCCTTTTGACAATCTGTAAAGTGACTTTCTGACTCTGGGCCAGTGGTTTGTACTAATCCTCATACCTTTTTCTCTCAATAGTTCCTCTCCCAATGGCCTGTCAGAGAGATTCATTAGCCGACCTCATGTTCCTAGTGGATGAGTCCGTTGGCACCAGACAAGATTTAAGGAACTTGCAGAATTTCCTGAGGAACATTACTGCCTCCATGGATATGAGGTACAACTGCACACGCCTTGGACTTATGAGTTATAGTGATGGAGCCAAGACAATTTCCCTTCTAAATTCAAGCACAAGCCAGTATGAATTTCAGGAGCAAATCCAGAAACTTTCTTTCCAGGCTGGAAAATCCCATGCTGGGGCTGCCATTGAGAAGATGAGGCTAGAAGCCTTCTCAGAGTCAAGTGGCAGCAGAAGGGCACAAGGAGTGCCTCAGATCGCAGTCTTGGTCACTCACAGACCATCAACTGATGAGGTGCGTGATGCTGCACTACAACTTCGGCTGCAGGATGTGACTGTGTTTGCCATGAACATCCAAGGGGCTAATGACACTCAGTTAGAAGAAATAGTGTCTTACCCTCCGAGACAAATGGTTTCCATGCTCAAGTCCTATGCAGACTTAGAAGCTTATAGTAATAACTTCCAGAAAAAGCTTCAGAATGAAATTTGGTCTCAAATTTCTGCTCGTGCTGGGCAAATGGACCTTGACAGAACTGGTATGTTAAAAAAAATACTTTTCTTATTATAAGAGTAATTATGAATAATTATGTTTTGCCCTTCTTTTTGGATATTATCATCCTTGCACCTATATCTTTACACACAACCATGAGTATTTTTGCACTTTTTAATCTTTTCTGTTATTTTTATCTTCCATCATTCTAGTGAAGATATCCTATTTAAGATGCCCTGTGAATCTGCTGTAGTTTTAACAAGCTCTTTTCAAAGATATATGCCAAGAGATACTTGACGTGACTTTGTGTTTACCTAATTCTGAGAAACCTGCTGTCTTCACACATTTCCTTTGCAGATAAAATGTTTCTGAACAATTGGACCTGGAATTTGGCAGCACTCACATGGAAAAGAATTGTAATCTTCCAATGATATTAAAGGCTAATTTTAAACCCAGACCCGTCAATTGAAGGTTTAAGAATGCATCCTGGGCCAGCCCTGGATTTCCTGTGGTGCATATACATTAAACACAGCAGCAAGAAATAAGTCCTCTGTTACCTCCAGAGTGACATGTGGTACAGTTCCTCAGAGTGGCAGCCACCTTGGTCTAGTACCAACTATTAGGGCATAGGAGGGATATATACTGGGGTCTCTCTTAAAGAATTTGCAATGAGGTGACAAGAATGATTATTTTCATTATAGAAATTCTAAATGGGAAGTCATGGGACCAAGGCTAGGGGCAAGACCCACCCAAGGGGGATGGATAGCTGTTCTTCAGGAGGCCTCAGTAGGTGGTGGCTTCTTATTAATTCAGTGGCTCTCAAAAAATTTGTACCTGACTTAGGTTGGGTTCCTCAGAAGTAGATGCCAGAGAAGGATTCATGTGAACTTGAGATATTAGAAAATATACCCAGGGAAAACTAGAGATTGGTAGGAAGGTGAGGGTTGGGACCAAGAAGGGAAGGATGATAAGCCAAGTCCTATGGAGGTTCAGTTACACAGGGCCATTCTAGAGACAGCATAGGTTAAACCTTAGAATTGTCCCAGTCAGGGACAGTATAGCTTGAGAATTTATATTCTAGCACATGATAGAATGTAAATTTCCAGGCGCTTCCTCAAGGCCCAGGCAAAGAGCGTTCCAGCACCCTGAGTGTAGCCCACCCACAAATAGACATAGGTGCGAGCCCTCGGAGTGAGAGCACTGGGAGCCAGCATACACAGAAATGGTAAAGGGTTTGAGGGGGTACGGGCTAAGCACCAACAGCATCTGCTGTAAACTTATCAGAGTTTCCTGGGGAGTTTATTACTAATTCATTAGCCCAGCCCCCCTGCCCCCACCAAAACCTAACGAATCAGTCTCAGAGTACAGTCTAGGCATTTGCACTTTAGTAAGCTCCCCTATGAACTCCTGTTAGCAATGTTTGAGAACCTCTACCTTAGTGAATTTGCCATGGCCTAGAGTGTGATGGCCAGCTTTGTAGTTTCAGAATGGTCAAACACAGAGAACCAATTTACATGGACTTAGTCATGGTATCTGCATCTGTCACAGAGTAGGTACCCAGTCTGAAAAGTCAGATTTCATTAAATCAAGGAGGGAACCACATTAATCAAACCAAGAGACTGATATATGGAAAAAGACTGACAATTATATTTATGATAAGAAATACCAGTACCCAGGCCTGGACCTTCATGTCCTCTGAGAAGTACATTATCTCCCTATAGGCATACCTACTGAGAAGCTAAATTGAAATCAAGAGATTGCTGGAGGTTGCAGAATCAGAGCAATGGAATAAGTTTTATGATTAAAATGTTTAGTAGCATTCAAGCAGGTAGATGACTCTATATTAAAGTCAAAATATCTATCTATCTCTCCAGATAGATAGATAGATAGTGAATTTATCTATAAATTCTATCTATCTAAATTTATCTATCTATAAAACTGTACAAGTGAGACCTTTGGGCCAGGAAACACATTCTTCTTCTTCAGCATTGTCCAATTGAACATTTTGTGATGATAGCAATGTTTCATATTTACAATGTTGGATAGGATAGTCACTAGCTACATGGGGCTGTTAATCACTTGAAATGTGTAGCTAGAGAAACTAAAGAGCTGATTTTTGAATTTTATTTAATTTTAAGTAGTTTAAGTTTACCTTTTAATAGCAATGTGTGACTGGTGACTAGTATATTAGTACAGCTCCAGGTGGGTTGAATGGGCATTGCCTTAGTTATCCACTGTGACTTACATTTTTTTCTCTCCTTCATTGCTGACCACCACTGTCTTTTTTCTGAAAAACACCCGATTCTTCTTCATTAGGTATATAAATCAATCCATTCTGGTGGCTATTAAGTTTTGCTGGCTGGGGATTAATCCTGTCTTTTGCAGATAACTACTTATCTTTGCCCTAATATTTTATGTATTGATTTCATAGTTAAATTCTCAGGTGCAAACTTCCAGTATTTCTGATTTCTTAAGGACCAAGTCTCCATAGCCTGAAGTAGTGCCAATAGTTACAAATTGCCAAAAAGCTATCAAGAAAGAAAATATCACACAATGACTGAATTATCTTGTATTTTAAAGATTTTTTCACATATTCAACCAGATAATTGCACAAAAAAACTTAAATGTTAAAAGTATGTTCTTTCTCCTACCCAAATTCAGTGAGTCATTGATAGAGTTGTAAATAGACAATTAATAAAGTTAAAGCATGCTTTCAGAGACTCTATTCAACAAAGTAGGGGACATTGAGACTCTTTTTTTAAAAAAAAAATTTCGTTGAAATCTTGTGATGTACCAGCTGTACTGGGTAGAAACAGAGAAGTAGGCAGTTTCTGCCCTCACAGGGCTGACACTCTGTGGCAGGAAGTAGTCTGTGCTCATGAACAAATGAATAAGATAACTTCAAAAAGTATGGGTATAAGAGAGAAAATAAGGTAATAGGAAAGGCAATGATTGAGTGCTTTGACTAGAGGGGAAGAGAGGGCCTTTTTGAAGAACTGGCATTTGAGTTGGCATATCCATGACGAGATAAGAAGGAACCAACTATGTGAATATTTAAGGGGCAGACTATTCCAGGAAGAGAGAAGGGTAATTGCAAAAGCCCTGTGGTACTTTCAAAGTACAGAAAGCAGCCTAGTGTGGCTGGAGCACAGTAAGATGAAGAATTACTGAAAATAGGGTCCAAGAGGAGAGCAAGGAGAAAGTTCAGTCCAATTTTTAAATTTTGGATTCTGAATGCAATGATAAACCACATAAGTAAAAAAATAATTTGGTCTGGTTCTAGTTTTACATATGATGTTGTAGTTGCTCTAGGAAAAAGAAGTTATCAAAGAAGTAAGGGCAGTAGGTCATCTCCTCCATTCCATTTCTCAAGAAATGATAAGGCATAAACTGTCTGAGAAGTCATGTGTCAATACAAGAAAAACAATTTAACTTACAGCCTGGAGACTTGGGAAACTGGTTCTTCCTTTTAATTAACTGGCTGTGTGACCTTAGACAAAGCACTGTGCACTACTCTGTTTCAATTCCCCTTCATGTTATTATGAATTTCAATAGAGAAAATGAGCGTGGACAGATTTGATGAAGCAGACCGACTCGGTGCAAATGATGAAGAGTTCTCATTCTCTAGAACCTTCATGGCCTCGTATTCCTCTACCCTCTTGCAAAGTTCTCTCCAGATTCTAATTAACAAAAAATGCATTTTCCACTTTTTCTATTACAGGCTGTATAGATACAAAAGAAGCTGATATCTATTTCCTCATTGATGGCTCAACCAGCATAAATACAGAAGGGTTTGAGCAAATCAAGCAATTTATGTTGGCGGTGACAGGAATGTTCAGCATTGGCTCAGACAAAGTCCAAGCTGGAGCTGTGCAGTATTCAGATAAAATAAGAGTGGAGTTTTATATCAATGCCAGTTCTAATGATATGGACTTAAGAAAGGCTATTTTGAACATTAAGCAACTCCAAGGAAATACTCATACTGGGAAAGCCCTGGATTTCATGCTGTCAATAATAAAGAAGGATAGGAAGCATAGGATAAGCGAGATTCCCTGTCACCTCATTGTGCTGACTGATGGGAAGTCCCAAGATGAAGTGCTGAAGCCTGCTGAGAGATTAAGGGATGAACAAATCACCGTTCATGCAGTTGGCATTGGGAAGGCTGATAAAATACAACTCCAACAAATTGCTGGGGAAGAAGAAAGGGTTAACTTTGGGCAGAACTTCGATTCTTTAAGAAACATTAAAAATGAAGTTGTTCACAGAATCTGCACTGAAAAAGGTAAGCAAACCAAAAAGGCTTTATTCTCCATACTTCATTAAACTTCAGGCAGACTAATAGCTGGGCTGAGACAAGAAGTGATGTGACCAGTTGTTAACACTTTTCTAACTTTCTCTATCCACCAGAGGGGGATTCAGACCCTTACTTTATTTATTTTCCCCCAAATACCCTTTTATTTCATCAGCAAACATCTAAGAGTATAGCTTGGAGTTAAGACTTATTTTTTAAAAACCCACAATACAATTGATCTACCTAAATATATTAACAGTAATTGTTTACATTAAGAAATATTACTGGGACACCTGGGTGGCTCAGTGGTTGAGCGTCTGCCTTCGGTTCAGGGCGTGATCCCGGGGTCCTGGAATCGAGTCCCACATCGGGCTCCCTGCATGGAGCCTGCTTCTCCCTCTGCCTGTGTCTCTTCCTCTCTCTCTCTCTTTGTCTCTCATGAATAGGTAATTTTTTTAAAAAAAGAGAGAGAAATATTACCATGTTTTTTCCCCCACTCAGTTTCCCTCTTTTCCCGTATGGTCCCTTTCACTTTTTCTTATATTCCACATATGAGTGAAACCATGTGATAATTGTCTTTCTCTGATTAACTTATTTCACTCCACATAATACCCTCCAGTCCATCCATGTCAAAGTAAATGGTAGGTATTTATCCTATCTGATGGCTGAGTAATATTCCATTGTGTGTGTGTGTGTGTGTGTGTGTGTGTGTGTATATATATATCTCACATATTGTTTGTCCATTCATCTGTCAAAAGACATCATAGCTCCTTCCACAGTTTCTCTATTGTGAACATTGCTGCTATGAACATTGGGGTGCAGGCGTCCCATCATTTCACTACATCTGTATCTTTGAAGTAAATACCCAGTAGTATAATTGCTGGATCATTGGGTAGGTCTATTTTTAACTTCTTGAGGAACCTTCACACTGTTTTCCAGAGTCAACTCCTTACTTTAAACCAATTGGCAAGATGGGAAAATCCCTTGGTAGACAGATAACCATGAGGGCATGTTGAAAATCTAAAGTAGGAAGGTTGCTAGGAATATTGTGGCCTTGACAATGCCCACTGGTGGGGCATGTAAGAAACTCTATTCTGTGTGTTTGCATGTATGTATGTATATGTGTATGCACGCGCATTAATTGAAGCAGATGAGCTCAGCAGAAAGAAAATGGGCTCTGAGTATTCAATTCACTTTCCTACTTGACCTTCAAACTTCTGCATCTATAAAGCAAGGATAATGCCTACATCACAGAGTCCTTATAAGTTTAGCATAATAAACATCAATCATCCTTTCTCTATTATGAATGCATACATATATATCTGCACATATAACAGTTACTTATTTTTATTTGTGACAAAAACACATATTTGCATTTTTGTTCCAACTAAAAATCATGTAACAAAAATTAGGAAGAACAATTTGCAAACTCCTGTACCTGATTGTGATTTCTCTTATTAGTAACAGTCACTTACTAATTGAAGATGATTTGTGTTGATTGCTAGTATTAGCACATGAAAATTTTGGGTGCTGAGAGAATTGTTAGCTTATTGGTTAAGATAAAGGATGCTGGAGTCAATGTTCAAATCTCAACTTAATTAGCTGTGGACCTTGAATAGAATATTTACTGTTTACCTATCTTGAGCCCTGTGTGCAGGCCTATAGTGAAGCTTAAAAGTGATAATGCATGTGAAACACTTAAAATAATGCATGTGGGCACATAGTAACCGCTACATAAAAATGATCTGTTGTAGAAGTTGGCTAAGGTGGTCACTGATGAGAAAAATAAAATAATTTTCACTTATTTGAACTTACAAATGTAGAAGTTTGGGGATTTTTGGAGTCACTAAAATCAAAAGAAAAACAGATAAGCAAATAAGTGGAGCTCACAGCAAAATCCTAAGTCACAATATTGTTCATTGTTCTCTCTGTTACAGACAGTAATAGAGTTGGGTCTTTAGAATGTTCTAGAAAGAGTACAAGAGTAATAGTTCCCTAATGTTTCCTGTGGTTGCTGCAAAGAAAAGTAAAAGGGTTCCAGGAAACATAAAGTAGATTGCATCTCAGTCCTTTCAAGGGAGACAATCCTGAGCCAATGTGAGGAGGTGTAGCACATGTCTTGTTGCAGTGCAGGTGCCTGAACACTGGCATCCCTGAAAGAGGAGACAGGCTACAGACCAGGGCAATGAAATAAGTCATAAGATGGCGAGCAGAGGCAGGAAAACTAAGGAACCAAAGCCTGAGGACCTAGAAAAACACTGACATGTAAAAGTGCCTCAATTTTTTAAAAAGATTTTATTTATTTATTCATGAGAGACACACAGAAAGAGAGAGAGGCAGAGACACAGGCAGAGGGAGAAGCAGGCTCCATGCAGGGAGCCCGACGTGGGACTCGATCCCAGGTCTCCAAGATCACACCCTGGGCTGCAGGCGGCACTAAACCACTGCGCGCCACCGGGGCTGCCCAGTAGCCCAATGTTTTTTTTATAATGTAAACTTTTTTTTTTTTAATTTATGATAGTCACAGAGAGAGAGAGAGAGAGAGAGAGAGAGGCAGAGACACCGGCAGAGGGAGAAGCAGGCTCCATGCACCGGGAGCCCGACGTGGGATTCGATCCCGGGTCTCCAGGATCGCGCCCTGGGCCAAAGGCAGGCGCCAAACCGCTGCGCCACCCAGGGATCCCAGTACCCCAATTTTTAATATCAATTTACAGTGTTTATCAAAGCACTTTAATTACTCAAGAAAATAGTGCTATATAAAGATTGCTTAGAATTTTGTGTTTCTACATTATATATAAAACCCTAGAATATAAATCCTATGAGTGTAGGAAATTGATTATGTTTTCTCTGATTCCGTTTTTGATCATCAGTGCATCTTTTAACACATAACCTGATACTTGGCATTTCATACCCCTCACGAATCATGAAGGAATGAGTTATGGATAAATGAATGATGCATACATAAATGAATATACACTTAGGAAGTTGCATTTTCTCTGTAAAACTAATTGAATAACAATTCAGTGGATTTCTGACTCAGAGTGGTAGCCAGGCCTCTACTATACCAGCAGATAAAATTTTCAAATGCCAGATTTGCCAGATTTTTCAAATAGCAGATGCTTGAGTTAATTTTTGATATTTTCTGACTACTGCATTTGTTTCTGTGTTACCGCTTCTCTATATTCTGAAAATCGTGTCAACCCGATTCATTTCCTGTCTTTCTGACAACATGCAGGATGTGAAGACATGAAGGCCGACATCATGTTTCTGGTGGACAGTTCTGGCAGCATAGGACATGACAATTTTGGAAAAATGAAAACCTTCATGAAAAACCTATTAGCAAAGATTCAGATTGGTCCAGACAGCACTCAGATTGGTGTTGTTCAGTTCAGTGATATAAATCAGGAAGAATTCCAGCTTAATAAATACTTTACGCAAAATGAGACTTCTGATGCAATAGACAGGATGTCTCTCATCAACAGAGGCACTTTGACTGGAAGTGCACTAACCTTTGTAGATCAATACTTCACCCCCACCAAGGGGGCCCGTACTAAGGTCAAAAAGTTTCTGATCCTCATCACGGATGGAGAAGCCCAAGATCCTGTGAGAGACCCTGCTAAAGCTCTTCGGGACAAAGGTGTGGTCATCTTCTCTGTGGGGGTGTACGGTGCCAACAGGACACAGCTGGAGGAGATCAGTGGGGATAGCAGCCTGGTCTTCCAAGTTGAGAACTTTGATGATCTAAAGACAGTAGAAAGCAAACTCATTTTTCGTGTATGTGCTCTTCATGGTGAGTGACACTGTCATCCTTCAGGACTCCGGAATGTGAGCTCTTGGCCTTACAGGGTGAAGAGTGGGTTGTACCATGGGCTTGGATTCTATCTGGACTTTGGTATTAAGTTTTGGTCTTGTCTATCTGGTATTAAAACACCTGTGAGCTCTAGGGATATTCCAGTTTAACAATTTTGTCAGCCAGTTTGGCAACAAAGTAGTCTGGCTCTGGAGACATCCAATCTATTCCAACAAGTTCTCAGAATTTTCTGATGAACTACTAAGTCTTTACTATCTGCATACCTAGATTTTTCAGAACCAAATGTTTAATCCCAAATGGTTCCCCAGATTTTTTCTTGCCTACCTGTAATCATTGTCAAGTAGTAAATAGCAAGAAATACAAATTTATCTTCCTCTTAGTTAATTCAAATCCAATATCCTAAGCATACTCTCAAAAAAATCCTCTTTATTTTAAAGATGTGGTGTGTATTTTAATTCCTTCACATTATTTTTCTTCACTTCCATCAGTGAGGTATTTTACGTTTGTCTGTTCATGTATCTATCCCTTTGGAAAATTTTAATTTGTTACTTTTTAAAAATGATTGCTTGGGATCATCATTTTTATCTCACACAAAATGTAGTGCTTTTCAAATTGTGTTGAGGAAATCTTCAGTTTGAGTCCATCAACTTTAATGGCCCTTGAATGAGAATTTGCTATAAATCCACATGTAAGACTAAAAGCACCTGTGCTTTTAAATCTACCACATGTCATCACCTGTGTTTTGGATACAACTGAGAGAACACACTGAAGTATTGATAAATTTTTTTATGTTGTTCCCCTTGCAACATAGAGACCTTTCTTGGACTGTATCATTCAGAATTATGTGTGATAAGTTTTTACAAAATTAACAAAATATCTTAGCGTAAGCTCTGAGTTTTAGACAGTGGCACTGCAATTTCTCTCATAACAGCTTAGTTAAAATGGCAATGATTCTCAAACTCTTGGTAATATTGAGACATTCTAAGATAGGTTGGCCTTAAGGCCACATCCCTACCTTTGAAATCCATGGAGCTCTTCCTGATATTTCTTCATTTTGATAAGTGTAATGTTTGTGGAGGCCTTGTCTATCGCCTAAGGTGAAATTTCAGCTGATTCACACATCAGATTGACTCATAAACATCAAGTCATTGCCCCAGGTTTCTGGAGATATAGTCTAGGATCACCTGTAGCATCTTAGACTTGAGACTTGAGAATAGTAGGATAAAAATCCCAGTTAATATAGTGAACCTCTGAGTTCTTTAAGACAGCAGACCAACTTGACAAATGCCAGTCATATCTCACTATTATAGTGATATTGAACTACCTTCTAATGTTTCCTTTTGATTAAAAGCCTGACTAGCAAAATGCATCATGTGTCTTAATGAGATGTAGCAGAACAGAGTGATGTGCCTTAAGAACATTGCAGAGTCATTGTTGAGTACAACACCTGGAGAATCATGATCTGGGCAAGTTGTACATGACTGAGCCTCAGTTTCTTACTGTGGAAAATGGCAACAGCCACCTCTAACAAGTGAGATGCAGTGTCTGGCACATAGTAGGTTCAAGGCAAATGTTAGTTTGCTCCCCCTTCTCTGTTGTCTGTGTAGAATATGCTGCAGAAAGATCATGATGCCTGCTTTCTTCTTCTTTCAGATTGTAAAAATATTAAAGTGTTGGACGTTGTGTTTGTGCTGGATCATTCAGGCAGCATAGGCACACAAGAACAAGAAAGCATGATGAACCTAACTATCCATTTGGTGAAGAAAGCAGATGTTGACAGTGACCGAGTTCGGGTTGGAGCTCTCAAATACTCGGACTATCCTGAGGTTCTTTTCTACCTTAGTGGAAATAAATCTGCAGTCATTGAGCATCTGAGGAGGCGCAGGTACACCGGAGGGGATACCTATACTGCCAGGGCTCTTGAGCACGCAAACGTAATGTTCACAGAGGAATATGGCAGCCGCATCCAGCAAAATGTGAAGCAGATGCTGATCATCATCACCGATGGGGTGTCCCATGATCGAGATAACCTCAGTGACACAGCATCGAAATTAAGAAACAAAGGCATCAATATCTACGCAGTGGGTGTAGGACAGGCCAACCAACTTGAACTTGAGACTATGGCAGGGAATAAAAGCAATACTTTCCATGTAGATAATTTCAGTAACCTGAAAGACATTTACCTGCCTCTACAAGAAAAAATGTGTACCAATGCACATGAGCGTAAGTTGTGATTTTTAAGTTTCTGTGGGGGTAGCAACAGAAGGTTAAGCAAAAAATAAATTAAGTCTTGGTTTCCAATTACCTGGATGTCATGGGCTGAACATTGCTCTGCTCTGCCTATGTTTTCTTATCTCTTGCTCAATCAAGATCTGAAAGTTCCCTTCCCACCACAGCATGCACTGAAGAGCCTATGGAAGATTTCAGAAACATTCTTTGAATTCTTGCCACTATTTTGCTTTTTTTTTTTTTTTTTCCTGGCCTAAAGGAACTCTACCTAGGATCATATTCACCTTATCCATATTACCCATTTCAGGGCCACTTGTGCCATTCCATTAATGGTTTTAATGTGATCACTGAGCACCAGTTGCAGGCCAGACTCAGGTGGAGAATTGCATGGTTTGACAGACTTTTCTCTTCAAAGATCCAGGACTGTCTAATTGGAATTATAGATGTTCTCTAGGGCCATGGGAAGTTCAAGTAGACTAATGTGCTCTTCTGGATAAGGACCACCAATACAGATGGAAGAAGAGGGGAGTTCAATATGGAGTAATGGAGGTTGGCAGGTAGGAACAGAGAGAAGGGACCTAAGCTGATTCCATGAGATACCACTGGGGTAGGATAGACTGGAAGCATCACACTTGAGGAAAGTGTAAGAGTTGCTACCTGAGCTCAAAGTGAGCAATGAATTCATCTTCTTGGTTTCAGATATTGGATGGTGGTTTTATCTTTAAAAAAAAATTGTGACTTTTCCCCACGTCTGTAGGACCTTCTCACTTCTACCCATTCTAGCCTGTCCCTGGACCCCCACTCTGAAATTTGGTCTCCTTGCCTCTTTCCAGTCTATTCTGAACACTGAGTGATCTTCCTAACACACACTGGACTATGTCACTGATCTGCTTACAGTTTACAATTTCTGAACTCCTGAGTTCCATCTAACCTTGCCCACATCTCCAACCTCATCTGTTGCCCCTCCTTACTTCACAATATCTCCTGTCAATCTGAAATACTTCTGCATTTTTGTATGCAGCATTCTATCCATCACGAACATGCCAGCCCATTTTCCCTCACTACGTCAAACTTGTCTGTCATTTTTCAGCCTTTGCCAATTTCCTGACCCAATACCTGACAGTGATCAAAGGTGTGTCTCCCCTCTTCTGCACCTTCTATTTCTCCTGGTGGTAGCACTGAACACATATTTGTTATTTCCTTATCTGTATCTGTCACAAGACCGTGACCTCCTTGAACAGGCACGGCCTCTTTTTTATCATAGGGTCCCCACCAAATCTAGTACATCACAAGGACTACAGTCTTTTCCTACAAAGGTAGAGTCTATTTTATTATCATCTCCCATGCCTACCTTTTGGAGGCAGACACTGAGGCAGAGTCTAGGATACAAGGTGTTTATTAGGGATCCACACCTGTGAAAGAAAGTGGGAAAATAGGATAGGTGGAAGAAGTCACACAGTGATGCATGCTTGACAAAGCTCCAAACCTTGCAAAGAGCTTTGGAGCGTGTATTGCACATCAGTGCTGTCGACAGCAGACTAAGATGACTGGGTGGTTATATGCCCTTCCTACTTAGTCCCCAGATGTGGGCTGCCCGGAGAAGGGCATGGGCTTTTGCAAGACATCTCCCTGCAGTAAGGTTGACCCTGAAGGACTGACAGCCAGAGGCCCTCCGTTGACCACACACCCACAGCCGGGCAGCAAATCCTTCCTCAAATGTCTATCTGGGCAGCCCATCATAGTGTGACAATGGGCATTCTTTCGTCTCAAATGCCTTTAGTAACCACTTTAGTGAAGCCCCTGTTCCAGCCATTGCATTTGATTGGAACTGAGTGTAGAAGATTATCCCTGGGTTATGAGGCTTTTCACATTGGATTTCAGGGAGATGACCCCTTGCCCTGTTTTACTAGCCATTAACTCTTATCCCATTACATTTTAATATTTGGGTTATGATATTTTAAAAAGCTGAAGTGGAAAAAAATACTGGATTTAAAGATAAAAAGAATGAGGCAGTTGAGGTACCCAATCCAGTGCACAGCAATTGTGTATTCTTAGTCAAGCTTCTTAACCTCTGAATTCCACTTCTGTATCTATAAAATTAGTTAATTACTTATAACATGGTCATGAATATTAACAGCAATTGTATGCCAAAAACATTTTTTAAAATGATAATTCTCAACACAAATGTAAAGTGGTAGCATTAATAGAAACAGGAATACTAGCCATAGAATAAGAGTACCATTACCTTGACTTGGGTGAACCTTCCAATTTGGGTGTGTCGAAGGGATTTCTAGCCCTTGCAATTTATCTTTTAATGACCATGTTCAATGTATTCAAACTTCCTTCTTTAAGCAACTTTCAGTGTCTTTTCAAATGAATCACACAAAATTAAAATTTGAAACCAAGCTTATTATCTTTCTCCTTCCCATCATTTTTCCTTCTTGAAGGCCAACTGGTGATTCTCTCCTCTGCTAACTTATCTCAATTTGCTACTAAGGTGGGAATTTAGTAAAGCAGTTTAGGTACTCGAGGAAAGATAAAATTTAGAATAATTCATGAGGAAAATAATTGTCTCATTTTTTCCAATTGCAGCGTGTGACATTCAAGAAGCTGATGTGATTTTCTTTTGTGATGGCTCTGACATGGTATCCAATTCTGAGTTTGCTACCATGACAACTTTCGTGTCAGACTTAATTGATAATTTTAACATTCAGAATCAGAGAATAAAAATTGGGTTGGCTCAATTTGGGAGTCGCTTCCAAAAAATTATCGAGTTGAAAAACTCTCTGACTATACAGGAATTGAAGACTCAAATTCAAACGATCACCAAGAGCAAAGGGTTTCCACGAATCGATCTGGCCCTTAAAGAAGTGAAAGCTATGTTTGATTCATCTTCTGGTGGGAGAAGAAATGCTGGTGTCCCTCAAACTTTGGTTGTTCTCACATCCGGGGATCCCTACTATGATGTGGCGAAAGAAGTGAAGAACTTGAGAAGCCTCGGAATTTGTGTCCTGGTTTGGGGCATAGGAAATGTTCATAAGGAGCAATTTCTGCCAATAACAGGCAATTCTGAAAAAATAATCACTCTCCATAACTTTAATAAATTAAATAATGTGGATGTGAAAAAAAGAATGGTCCGTGAAATCTGCCAGAGCTGTGGGAAAACGAGTACGTACTCCCCTTGCTCTTTATTTGTTTTTAATTGAATCGTCACATTCCTGGGGCTTCATTTCCCAAGGTGTTCCCAGGGCTAGCTCTAGCTGAACATATTTTTTGAATAGTGTGCATGAGAATAGACCTTTCCTCTGTTCCAGGAAGCTTGGGATCACTCAGCCTCCCTGAGAGATGAGGAAAAAGGTGCAGAGGCTGGAGGAGGCCCTGGGTTGTGTTCTCTGCTCCCCTCCCTGCAAGCCTCTGTTTGTGCCCCTCTTAGCACTGAAAGTCAGTCTCCTATTTCTTCCCTTTGGACTTGTGGAAGTCCTAGAACAATGCCTTGCATCCAGTGGGAAGTAGATAAAACAGACCTGTGCTGGTTGACAGCTTTACTATTTTAACTTTGTTAAACAATCTTGTAAGGGACTTGGTGTTCTTGTATGTGTCTCTGCGTGTATGTCCACATAAGCCTATGTGTGTGCATGTTTTCTTCTTCTTTTAATGATAGCCTTTGTATAATCATATAATGATTTGAATTGTCCTTAGTGATTATTTAATTCTCAGAGGTCACATACACAAATGGCTGCAAAGGCCAAGAGGGCAATGTAAATGAGTCAAGAGGGCAGGGAGGGAAGGAAATGAATGAACAGCAATGACCCATCTAATGGGGAGGTCACTGTTCACTCCAGCTGAGAGTCACCATGTAGGACTCAGGTTCTGCACATTTGGGCTGGGAGTTGGGAGGATAGCACCTCAGGAAGCAGCGAATGGTTACATTTTGTGAAATTTGTACAACATGCAGAAATTGCTCTGCTTGCTTCTGTTTCTAGGGTTACAACTAAAGCCACTTCGTTCACAAAATGGGTTGGCCTTTCCAAGCTCTCCAAGCTTTCCATTCTCTATGCCCCATTTGGGGTGCTCCTCTGGAAGCAGATTACAGTGGTGGAAAGGGCCCTGGCACTGAAATCCGAAAGCCAAAGTTCTTGCTCTGGTTCAGTGGCAGCAACCTGCACGAATCACTATTTCCTCATATGTAAAATGAGTAACTGGGCAGGGTCCGAAGTGACCAAATGGCCACTTGCAGCTAAATTGTGTTTGTCCTGTGCAGTGTTGACAACTTGCTGAAATTAGTTGACAGCTTTTACAAACTGAAGATTTCACATGAAAAGTGGGGATCTTAGGGTTCCCTTGGAAAAATAAGGCAATCTGACAACCCTGGGCCCCTTTTCCCACATGGCTACTCTCAGCTGGTATTGAGCCTTGAACAGATGGGCCACTGTTCTCCATTCACTATCTTTGCTCCCTGCCCATCTAACTGATTTACATCATCCTCCTGGCTTTTGTAGCCCTCTGAGTTTGTTACCTCTGAATTAAACAATCTCTAAGGACATTTCAAATACCATTAAAAAAAGAAATGGACTGTGTGTTTGCACACACACATACAGCCAGCCTTTGAAAATGAGGCTAAACCGTGATTGGAACTGCAAATACCTAAAGGAACTTGAAATATTTAAAAGAGGAGAGAGGAAATACCTGTGTCAGTCAAGCAGCCAATATCTTCCTTCTGTAGAGACCCTCCAGCCCTGGGTCATGCCATGACTGCTCTCCTGCTCTTCCTTTCTTCTATCTACTCATTAATCTGGCCTCATTTCCCTTGGTCTCCAGATTGCTTTATGGACATAGTGGTCGGGTTTGACATTTCCACTCACTTGCCGGGGCAGCCGTTGTTCCATGACCACCCCCGGCTGAGATCCTACCTCCCAGACATCTTAGAGGACATCACTTCCATCAGGAGGGTAAGCTGTGGGGCAGGCACAGAGGTACAGGTGAACGTGGCCTTCAAGGTGAACAATGACCGAGAATTCCCTGCCAAGTTCCAAATCTACCAGAGAGCAATGTTTGACAGCCTGCTGCAAGTCACCGTTGATGGGCCAACTCATCTGAATGCACAGTTCTTGCTGTCACTGTGGGATACATTTGAGGCTAAATCCAAATCCCAAGGACAGGTATGTCACATTCAATCTCCTATCACCATGTTCTTTCATTTGTTCCTTCCTCCCCAGATATATATATTTCATTTTCACATCATCCCGTTCTCTGCTTTCCTCTTCCTCTAGGTGCTACTCATCTTTTCAGATGGTCTTGGGGGTGAAAGTGAGATAATGCTTGAAAATCAATCAGACAGGCTCAGAAAAGCAGGTACTGAGTTGCGAATTTAAGTGGTGAAACATAGAACATGCTGAATGAGCCCCTTCTTACTCAGGTGCTGTATATCTTGGGATCTGTCTGGCCACTGGTAGCAGATGCTGTTGGTGCCTCCCTGAATCCCCTTGCCCAGCCTGCATGCTCATCCCCCAAATGTCGTAAATGCCATGGCCAAGTGCTTACACCTGTGACCTTCTACAGTCATGTGTCCTTGACTGACCTGAATAATTACCTTGGAGTGGGGGTGGGTTGTATCATATCTCACCTGGAAGTGGAAGAGGGACAATCGATATAGGAATAAAAAGTCTAGCACCCTTGCCTCAAGTGGGTCAACTCTGACACAGTTTATACTCCAGAGTCCTACCGAGGTGAAGACTTTACTGAGACACATCCTTGCTTACAACTTCCCCTCCCTTTCTGCCACCTCTCTCTCCCTCCATAAACCATATACACACAATTTCCTCTCTTTGATTCTGCTTCCAGGGCTCCTTCCTGACTGAGGACACTCCCTACTGTTTCTGATTATCCAAGTGAAAGACAGCCACATGTATACTTCTTAGTATACAACCCCTCTCCATGTCATAGTTTCAGACTGTGCTGGAACCTAAATGCACAAGTTGAGAGTCTTATGCAGTGACATGAAGGTCCACTGATTGTCAGATGGGATACATTGTTTGAGACTTCCTGGGTTTAGACCCACATGTACTTCTGGGGTTTAGCTTCCATGAGCAACCTCCCTAGAGACCACAAAATTTCCTGTTTGATTGCTGCGTTGTGTCACCCTCCTTTGCCACTGTTCCCACATCACGTTCTTTGTACAGCCTCTGGCACTTTACAGGGTCTGGCTCCCACTCCCCACTGTAACCTTCCCTCAATTCCCACACTCAGCGTCCCAGGCACACAGAGCTATCCCCTTCTTCCTGTAGTGCACCTCACGCCTCAGTCCCCCAGTCCCAGCATATACTTTTTCTTCTGCCTAGAGCAATTCCCAGCTCCTCCCCAGTTCTTCTCCATCTTCTGTCTCTGGTTCTCTGCCTTGACCAGCTTCCATTCATCCTTCAGGATCAGCTTAGACATCAGGTCTTCACAGAAACCTTCCATGACTTTCTAAGACTAAGTTAGGAGCTTCTCCTCTAGGCTTTCAGAGCACCCTGCCATTCCCTCTCAGGATATTTACCACTTCTCAGAACAACTATCTGATTCCTGTCCACCTTTTCCATTGACTGTACTTCTGTGAAGGGACGGGTCTTATTCATCTTGTGTCCTTGGTACAATGATTGATACATAATTTGCTCCTCATAAGCAAAGATTTGTTTAATGAAAGAATAGAGAGTAAATGGACTAATGAATGAATTAATGAGTGAGTGGATGAATGAATAAATGGAGTCCTGGCTATGGCTACCCTGGGTTTTCCTCAGGCTTTCAGGACCTGCACCCTGGGAGTATTTGGCCATGGAGATGACTTTGAGAACTATTATTAATTTACATTCAGAAAAACTGCAAATATCAATAATGCCCTTTCTTAGAAATTGCTTTCAAGTGCCCAAGAATTGCATCAAAACTTGGTGGTGAGGCATTAAACATAGTTTTCTGTTAGTGTTTGTACACAGTTGCCCTGGAATACTTTTTCTTGGGGGTTTTCCTGCTGAAGCCTGAACAAGCAGACAAGGCTGTTGGGTTCTTCATATATAGAAGGTCTTGCTTCTTCTTATGTTTCCTTTTCCTCTTTATGATTCTGCAAACACCATTCACTGAGTAGCAATACGATGGGCTTTTCTTCTTTGGTTCTGAATCTGTTACATTTCCTGACTAGGACTCGATGCTCTGCTGGTGGTGTCCCTAAACACGACTGCCCATGATGAGTTTTCCAGCTTTGAATTTGGAAAGGGATTTGATTACAGGACTCACTTGACCATTGGCATGAGAGAGCTGGGCAAGAAGCTATCACAGTACCTGGTGAGTTGTAGAGCAGAAATGCAGCTAAAAGGCCATCAGAATGAAATTGGAATTTTGATCATTATTTCCATAGACTGCCTTGCTTGCCCCACTAAATGAAGTGCATGATCTTTAGCAGATGAAAAAGTGTGAAAGACCAGAGCAGGGTATTTTTGTTTTTGTGTATCCTTCCCTCCTTTATCATCCTACCAAATGAATGCATGGGAAACTGAAAAAAACAACCATCCCCTAGTCAAATAGAAAAGCTCCCAGTGGATTTACCCCAAAGATACAGATGCAGTGAAATGCCGAGACACCTGCACCCCGATGTTTATAGCAGCAATGTCCACAATAGCCAAATGTGGAAGGAGCCTCAGTGTCCATCGAAAGATGAATGGATAAAGAAGATGTGGTCTATGTATACAATGGAATATTCCTCAGCCATTAGAAACAACAAATACCCACCATTTTCTTCGATGTGGATGGAACTGGAGGGTATTATGCTGAGTGAAAAAAGTCAATCGGAGAAGGACAAACATTATATGGTCTCATTCATTTGGGGAATATAAAAAATAGTGACGGAATAAAGGGGAAAGGAGAAAAATGAGTGGGAAATATCAGAAAGGGAGACAGAACATGAGAGACTCCTAACTCTGGGAAACGAACTAGGGGTGGTGGAAAGGGAGGTGGGTGGGGGGTGGGTGTGACTGGCTGACGGGCACTGAGGGGGGCACTTGATGGGATGAGCACTGGGTGTTATTCTATATGTTGGCAGATTGAACACCAATAAAAAATAAATTTATAAAAAAAATTTATACAGTAAAAAAAGAAAAGAAAAGAAAAGAAAAAAGAAAATCTCCCAGCAGTTGATGCTGCAGACATCCCCAGAAAACAGGAGTCTGTGAGTGAAGAGTCAACCATTCTTGTGCAAACTTGGCCTGTGATTAACTGTGTGGCAGGTGCCCTTTTTATAGAGAGGTCATTTCCTGGGAAAGGGTAGACTGTGTCCCAATTGCTAGTCCCTGGCTTCAGTAGTGAGTCAGAAAGCACCTCTGATCCTCTGCAGCCCCTCCTTCAAGGACAGAGGATGGTCTTGTAGGTGGTGCATTATGATCTGTACAAAACAGTTCTCATGCCATGAAGTTCCTGACAATTGTTGTTCACTCAAGTTTGCTTTTTCCAGGGAAACATTGCAGAGAAGACTTGCTGCTGCACATTTTGCAAGTGTTCAGGGGCTCCAGGTCTTTATGGGTCCCGAGGACTACGAGCCATGAAGGTGCCATTCAGTTGTGAAACTATTTTACCCAATGCTCCTTGATTTGGTTATGGGACTTAGGCCACAAGGTGGACTCTGCAGCCTTTACTCAATGCTAGTGTGATTGCTTTGGGCATTTATTTCATGTGACTTCTGTGGTGTAGGAGCCAGTTCAGAAGGGCTCTCTTTTGATACTGCTCTTAAGAATAACTCCCATTTTTCTTAGCTATCCTTTGTGATGTTGCTCCTTGGCTTTGCAATTTATACCTTCACACCTGCTTTAAACAGTTTAAACAGTGCAGGCGGTATTAGAAATAATGGAGAAGATTGTACTTGATCAGCAATGAGTGAAATTGAACTGCAAAAAAAGCAAAGCATTATAGATTAATAGCCCTTTAAAAATGAATTCTAGAAGTCCAATTACACAATTGTATAATAATTTTATTACACAAATAAATAAATATGTCAGTGTCTTCATTAATGGAATACTCTAAGATGATGAAGATAAATGAGCTACAGATACATATGACAACATGAATAAGTTTTACAAACACAGTAATAGCCAAAAAATAAAAAGCAAAATGCAGAAGAATACATACAATATGATTCCACTTATAAAAAGTTTGAAAGCAGGCAAAACTAATCTGTCATATCTAGGGATGGATAATTCAGTAGTGAAGTATTAAAAAAGGCAAAAAAGTATTGCCATGAAAGCCAGGTGTGCTCCCTGGGGTGGGGGTGGGGGGAGTGTTTTGGCATTGGGATGGAGACTGCGTCTGGGGCTAGTGATGTCCTGCCTGGCTGGTGGTTCCATGGATGTTCACTTTACAATAATTAAGCTGTGCCTTTATATTTTATTTACTTTTATGCACTTTTTAAATGAGTTTTAGACATCATAATAAAAGGAGTATTTTTTTAAGAGAGCAAATATAATACTTGCTCATGAGTCCCACCTTGTCCATCCTTGTGGGTGTGTGATCTGGCCTTTTTACTGAGTTTGATGCTTTGTTCAGCAGTTTCCTCTCTCATCGCTTTGCTTTGGTCAGTTTCAGAGTTACAATCCAAGAGTACAGCCCCCAGGTGTACTGAGCAGACAGTCAGGACCCGTCTTACATGGTGAGGAAAGCAAACCTCTGATTAAATCTTTAGCACAAATAAGCCACGAGGCAGTTAAACCACACTTGGCAGAGGGAGAGATGATCACAATTTATATATAAGTAATCTCATTATTGAGAGAAGTGCTTCTTCTTCCCTGAGCTCTCAGAAAAGTAAAAGGAAATAAAATTATCTTTTTGGAAATGTGATGGATTTGCCTTCTAGAAGAGTTGTGGTGACAACAGTTGCCTACCCACAGCCCCTTAGGCATGGGACTAGCCTGGATGCCCTGAGCTGCAAAGTGGGCTCCATAGGTCAGATTCCTGTAGGAGTCAGAGGTTGTCAGACTCTCCCCAGACCTATAGCCACCCCTGCAGACACTGTGACCAAGTTGAAGAGAGGGGCATGTCTACAATGGCTCATGATTTCACAAGTTCAAATAGAAGGAAGCTGGCTAAAATGTATTTTCTCTCTTTCCACCAGGGTTCTCCGGGCTTGAAAGGTACCAGAGGACACCGGGGAGAAGATGGAGACCCCGTAAGTTTTTCTGATCCTCCCTTACCACCCCCCACTCCCGAACCCCCCTCCCCCACGCACCAAACAGAAGCAATGATTTCCTTTTGCATGGACAGCTTTATCCTCCCACAGAAAGGGTTATGTTTATATGGAGGTTTTGGGTGGCTTTGCAGGAATGGGTTGCTCTCTCCCCCCCACCCCTCCTTTTTGTCTGGATTATGAGCACTCACCAAATCTACTTTTGAGGGGAGGAGGGAGCAGGCTTACATACATGTTGCCTGGCATGTTTTTATCAGTGGGGCATGCTCCTGTCTCCCCTACACAGGGTGAAGTAGGGCTCTCTGTGAGGGGCTGTCTTGGGATCCAGAGCTCAGTGCTTAGTACATGGAAAGGCACAGCTTCATGGTTCCATGAAACACAGAGGTCTTCTCATCTCAATCTTTGACCCTAAAACCAGAACTCTCACTTGGTTCATCAATCAAATTATGAGAATAGATTTGAAGGAATTGAAACACTTGAGTGGCTCTGTTTGGGATGAGGAAAATTCAGGAAGCATCCAACCTGCATCTCCATCCCCTTAGAATCAAGCTAGCTCTTCGCCTGGGCAGGTATGATTAAAAGCACAGGCTCTCGAGTCAGCCAAGGGCTGACCTAGACAAGAAACCTTAGCAAGACACTTAACTTCTTGACCCTCAGTCTCCTGATCCATAAACTGATATATTCCTCTAAGACTCTAGTGCTGATCTACTTTACAAAATGACCACTATGGGGAATACTCACCCACTCACCATGGGTCTATAGAGGGGTCTTAGAGCTCACCCAGGCAGCATGGAGGGCTTCAAGTGTGGGTATCTGGCCATGAGCATGCATCTGGCGGACAGTCCAGTCAACGGGAAGCCATGATGTATTGGTACCTCTCAGTGACCTATGGCCATAAGTGAGGCCTCCTGCTTTCCTGGGAATAATCTTCAGAATAAAGAAAGCAAAGCAAGAGGAAGGAAAAATCCCTTTCCCCCTCAGCTACCAGGAAGGAAAGAATCAAGCCCATTGCTAAATAATTATTTATCCAAACAACAAACCATCAGCACCCACTTTGCTTCCAGATCTGATTGTACCAGGCACAAGGGACATAATTGGGTAGAGAGAGAGAGTTGGGGGTTCCTGCCCTCAAGGAGGACCATATTGCTTTTCTCTTGAAATTCATTTTATTCTAGCATTTACCTGTGTTTAAATATTTACTGGGAGAAAAAGGATTGATGGGAGGTGTACACATCATTGACCTTGAGCGCTCTTCTCCCAGTGACTGGTCTGATTTGGGGGCTTCTTCACCTGGTGGTTCTTTCCATGATCACTAGAACTTCCCATCTTCGAGTTCTTATAGCAGTAGCCCAGCCCATCAACTGCTTCTACTCAGCTCCAGTCCCCTGGGACCAGCTTGCTTCAGTACCATCAGCACTGATGACTTTTCCAGGGCAGCACTGGCTCCCTGGGCACAACATCAGGGCCAACATGTATTACTGGAGTGTTTGAAAGGTGGCTGGCAGGTGAAGCGACTCCCAAACCTTTGGCTGTGCTATCTGATGAGGACCGGGAAGCACCTGGGCTCATCCTGCACTCCTGTGTCATCTTGGGTCTATAAGGAAGCCCCGAAGGGCAACAGGGAAGATGTTAGCATAGAGGGGAAAACCAGAGTTAAAGGAAAGCATTTGGGGAAGGATTTGCTTTGTGTGAAGCCCAGAGTGCTCCTGTGCTCTAGCTTTACTCTTAAAAAATAAACTGCTGGTGACTTCTGGCAAAAGAGTCACTTTGGATATCTGTCTGGGTGCCTTTTTTTAGGGAAGACGAGGAGATATTGGACCCACAGGAAATAGCGGGACTGCAGGATGTCCAGGGGAGCAGGGTCAAAAGGTAAGTCTCTGCTAGAAATGTGATTTTTAATTCCCTACAACATGGTCTGCTTTTCTCCTCCTTCCTGCCCTTCCTCCTTCCCTCCCTCCTTTTCTCTCTTCCATCCCCCAGCCTCCCTTTGTCTTTCTCCAATTACATGTCAGTGTCTTCTCCTGCGGACTAATTCTGCTTCTTAGACATCTCAATGAGTTTGGAGCATTCATTCAATCCCACCTATCACTTCTTTGTGGTTGGAGAGCCAGAAGCACCTCTTTAGGGAGGCAGCTGCTTCCTGCTCCAACACTCCGTGAATCTACCTGCTGTCTGTCTTTGATGTGTCAGTGAGAGACATTTGATCTTTTACAGGGAGCCAAAGGATTTTCTGGAAGTAAGGTACTGTAGTGTCTTCTCAGTCCAATTTGATTTCCTGATGGAATTAGTTTCCCAGTAAGCGTGTAGCAGAGACCTCCTCTGACCTGACTGCACTCCTTATTGTCCCTCAGGGAGAACATGGAGAGGATGGGATTGATGGACTGGATGGGGAAGAGGTAAGCCATCTTTCAGGCACTATAACATGGTCACGAGGTTGATGTACTTCTCTTTAAATGGGAATTTTGTTTTCCTTGACTTCTTTTAGGGCATTCATGGATTTCCTGGGGCAAAGGGAGAAAAAGGTGATCCAGGATCTCAGGTAACACTCTCAGTATATCAAAGAAGGAGAATTTGGTAAAGAGACCGTCTTAACTGCTATAAGCCAGTGCTCAGTACGGAAAACAGTGACAGCTAACTTGACCACACGAAGAAGTCCTGTTACTACTGAATAGATGCCACATTCTCACTTGGGAATTTTCAAGAATTCCAGTGAGAGGGAGTCAAGGCATGCAAGGTTCTTCCATGGGCATGTTCCTCAGAAGTCTGAAAGTGAATGTTTTTGCCTATCAGTGGCTTCCATGTTCTCTTTATTGCATCAGAGGGGGGAAAAGCATAAAAAGCAAAAGAAAAATATAAAATTATTTTGGTGACTTTGGTGTAGCAAATGACAGTGAAACATTTTTTATCTTAAATTCATTTCAATACTTATTAATATGTGCCTACTTGGCTCCAAGCAACTATGCTTTTATGTTCTGATCCATTTATTTATTCAATATATTTTAATGCCTGGCATGTGCCAACCACTGAGTTATGTACTGAAGATTGAGAAATGAACCACAATGTCCTTGTCCTCAAGGATCCCCAGACATAGAAAGACAGACATATTAATGACAGCTAATGACAGTACAGTAAATGATTGAAGCCATGTTGTAGGCAACTACATGAGAGCCCAGAGAAGGGTACCTAACTCAGCAAGGTGGAGAGGGAGTTCAGGAAGTCTTCCTAGAAGAAGCAATCCCTGAGCTGAAGATGATGGGCATTAGCAAGCATGGAAAAAAGGCATTCCAGACAGAGGGAACAGCATAAACAAAGATGTGGAGACTTGGGGGCACTGCAAGTTGAGCGTTAGAGTACAGGTAGAGGGATGTGAGATTCTAGAGGTGGGGGCAAGAGATCGGGAGGGCAATGATGTGCCGTGTGGGGGAGTTAGGCTTTTGATTATTAGGCAATCATGAGCCTTTGAAAGATTCTGAGTATGGAGAGCAAAACTGAATTTGCATGTTAGAAATATTACTTGACAGTGGTATGGAGGATGTGTCAGAGATGACACAATTGCAAGGCAAAGATGAGAGGATCTGGAATAATCAAGGTGAGAAGTGATGAAGCCTTCAAGTAAAGCAACATCAGTGAGAACAGAGACAAGACATACTAAGGACATAGCAGGGCCTGGGCTGGAATAAGCAGCGAGAGTGCAGGATTTAAGTAAGTACTCATTCTCAGAGTCATGCAAAGTGTGAGTGAGTGTCTCCCTAAATTTCGCACCTTAGGTTACTTGCTTCTCTTACCCTGGTTCTGGCTCTGGGACATAAGAGTTCTGGATCTAGGTGACCAGAGAAGCAGGAAAGGAGGAGTCAAAATGCCTTCAAGGACCCTGGTTTGGACAAGCTAAATTGTGAACACTTGAGCTTGAGGTGACAGGTGGAACATTCCTGTGGAGGTTTCCAGTGGGTAATTTAATTGTAAATATCAAAAGTTCCTAGGCGGGCTGGGATGTCCACTATAATACTCATTAGCAGTATATGACTGTTTAAATTCCAATGAGTGAACATGAAAAATTCTGTTCTTCAGTTGTCCTAGTCACATTTCATGTGCTCAGTATCCACGTTAAGGCTAGTTGCTACCATATTGGGCAATGCAAATATAGAACATTTCTATTACTGTAGAAAGTTCTGTTGGAACTAGACCTAACTATGCTAGGTCATGAGAGTTTTCCCATTGCTCAGCCTCACTACAGATAATCCTGACCTTAGGCTTAAAACTGTACTGAGGACTGCTTCAGAAGTCTGGCTAAGAGAGAGGAACATGGATCATTTTGTCTGATGGATTTTCTTGCCTCCAACACACACATTTGACATTTTAACATCATTATAAAACCTTCCTACAAGCTAACTCAGAAGCCCATTTTATTTTTTTCAGGGCAGTCCAGGTTCCAGAGGCCCCCCTGGGGGATATGGAGAGAAGGGCTTCCCAGGAGATCCTGTAAGTTACTTGGGTCTAATTGGCTCTGAATTATGTAGTTGCTCCAAGTTCCCATCTCCTTTATCTTTTGTTTCCTGCTAACCCATAGGCAAACTCTTAAAGTCAGGGTGGGAGGTGTTGACTGAGACTTCGTTGCTTGGGAAAAAAATCTGTGTGCATCTGATCTTGGCTGAATATACTGGAAATTTGGAGCTGGGAACTAAGGTTCCATCCTAATCATCCTTAATGTTATGTTGAGACTTTCAAGTTTCTTTTGGGGGAGAAATTTCCATAATTTTGCTTATTGGGCTTCTAAACTTACAGAGTCCCTATGTGCAGACTTGATTAAAAGGGAACCTTGTTATACCTCTAAGGGAGTGTTGTAAACATGTTTGGACTAGTGCATCAGTGAAGCTGCCAATACAGAGAAGAGAAAATCATCATCACTTCGGCAGGCAGTCTTTAGCAAGCACTCTTATCACTTCATCTGTCACCAAACTCTCTTCAAACTTGGGAAAATATTTCCATTTTTTTTCAAAATTGTATGAATATGGAGAATTTTCTCTTACCCCTCCTCACTTAACCTGAATTAGCTCACTACTTGAACATTGTTCCATTTGAAAAAAAAAAAAAAAGCACTGATATTTCTGGTTCTAAAATACTTTTGAAATCTTCCTCTAGGGTAATCCAGGACAAAACAGTAACATCAAAGGACAAAAGGGCTCCAAAGGAGAACAAGGAAGACAAGTAATTGGATCTGTTTTATATACATAGATTCTATAGATCTATTTACAAGTGTATAAATGATTAATTCTGTTACTGAGCTGAGACTTTCATAAATTCTAAATTAATTATTTAGTAAAATATGTAACCCTTCTATAATTTGTAGGTTACACTTCTATCAATAAAATTACTAGGTTTCTGGCAGGTGATATTATATGGGGAAACTGATAATCAGCAGTACATGTTGATATATCATTTTCCTCTTTAAAAGATATATACTCAGTAGTGTTGATATGCGGAAATATTCTAGCATGACACATTTGTTCTGCTGTTTTAATAGTACCTATTAGGGTTTCTATGCTAATGGAGTTATTCCGAATCTTTTGCCTTAACATTTTGGGGAACCAATTGTATTTCTAGGGTAGAACTGGACAGAAAGGGACACCAGGTGATCCTAATTCCAGAGGAAGTAGGGTAAGTATTTTCATGAACATTTATTTTCCCCTTTGTATCACTTAAAGCTACCACAGAGGCATTCACAATACTTGCCGCTGCAGAGTTGGCTGACCCAGGGCTGATACACTGGTACTACTGTCATTTGGGCCCAGACAATGTTGTGAGGGACTATCATGTGCTTTATAGGATGTTTCAGAGCATCCCATTCTCCACCCACTAGATGTCAGTAGCACTCACTCCCCCCAAGTTGTGACAGACAAAAATATCTGCACATTTTGCCAAATGTCTGGGGTGAGGGTAGTGAGGAGTGAAGACAGGTGGTGGCGGTGGGGGTTTGGGGGTGGGGAAATTACTCCTTGTTGAAAACCTCTGTAACAGTCTGCCTTCCTCTTTCCACCTTCCAGAAGCTTTTGAATGTCTTTGGAGAGAGTGCCTTTAAGATGAAAGCCCTCCTCCAGTAGCTTAGCACCTTTGGGTTTCTATAACAATATGAATTGGGTAAACATACTCTCTTTCTCTTCAAATGTTGCCAATAGGAAAGAAGAGTCACAGGTAAATTCTTCCCAAATGAATCAAAACACTGGTGACTAGAGCCAAACCTGTAGCAACCTCAAGGCCCCTGGGCGTCTTTATAGCATCTCTTGTGATATCAAGCCTAAAACAGGGATATGGGATCTCCTCTTCTTTTTAAGGAACAACCAAAAAATCACTTTTCTTTTTGTGGATGACTGAAGTGAGAGGGGACATTTCCAACGTGTTAGAAACCCTTTTACCATGCACTAAGAATGGAGATTATAAAAAGACAATAATGCAGAGCATCCTAGATTTGGCCCTGAGCTTTGTTCAAGAAGGAACTGAAAGTGCTTGGCTTTCTTTTCTATTATAGACTTGGAGTCTTCTCATCACTTTGACGGCTGTGGCTGATTGCCTTTCTCTCTGGAATAGATAGCGGAGAAATGTGTTTCAATTCCTCTTGCCTTTATTTATCTGGAATCATAGAACTTAAGGGACAGGATCTACAGTCAGATGGCTTAGGCTTGCTGATGCTTCCGGTAAAAATTCTCTGGGACTTTGCCCTCTTCTCCACACAAGGGAATTAAAATTAACCAGAGGAAGCAGGAAAGCAGCAAGATGTACTACATGCAATAAAATTTAAAGATAAATAGATATTTTTGTTGGTTTAAGAGAAAATACTCTTAGTTTGAGATAGCTTTATATCTGTCACCATCAATCAAGCACTTTTTGAAAGAGATGCTAGGGATGAGGTTGGGGATTACTACTTGGATAAACCAGCCAATGACTTTAAGTCACTTCAGACACAGCAGGCTCTCAGCCTTCTTCTCCCATCTTCACCTACTTTCTTGCCCAGCTCCTACCTTTGTAACTTCTTTTCATCTGAATTGAACAAGGCAATGCCTGAGTGGCTCAGTGGTTGAGCATCTGCCTTTGGCTCAGGTCATGATCCCAGGGTCCTGGGATCGAGTCCTGTGTTGAGCTCCTTGTAGGGAGCCTGCTTCTCCCTCTGCCTGTGTCTCTGCCCCCCCCCCCCGTGTGTCTCTCATGAATAAATAAATAAAATCCTTTTTTTTAAAAAAAAGGTAATGTAAATATAAAAGAACACCAAGCTTTTCTACCTCTTCCTTACCTTTCCAGTGAAGACCAGAATTCTCTATAAGGGTCAGAAGATCTTAAGTAGATGACAGATTTGAAGAACGCAAGCAAGCATAAGACACTGCCTCCTGTGTGATAGAATTCCAACTTAGGCAAGTGAATTGTACTAGCTGTTGCCCAAACAGTGGATTGATGTGCTAAGAACCAGAACACTGGAAACAACATTCCAGACCTCTTGTTTTTAGCCTGCCACACACAAGTGCTTACTAATAATTGTGTTTATACTTTTATAGAGTTTATTTTGTGCCAAGTCCTGATCAGATCACTTTCAAATATTAAATCCTCATAACAAGCCTACTAGATAGATACTGTTATTATATCCATTTTATGGATGAAACTAATCAAGGACCCTTGGGCAACTTGCCCAGGATCAGGATAGGTACCAAGTGGCAGAACGGGAGTTTGAACCCAGACCTACTTACTCCAGAGTCTGGGGTCCTAACCTCCTGGCTAAGGCTTTTTGCCCAACGGCCCTATACCACACAGGCTTTAAAGGGCAGCATCAAGTCAAGAGAGCCTGACTTCTAGGGACTCCTGGGTGGCTCAGCGGTTGGGCACCTGCCTTCGGCTCAGGTTGTGATCCTGGGTTTCGGGATTGAGTCCCATATCAGGCTCCCTGTGAGGAGCCTGCGTCTCCCTCTTCCTGTGTCTCTGCCTCTCTCTGTCTCTCTCTCTTTCTCTCTCTCTCTCTCTCAGTCTGTGTCTCTCATGGATAAATAAATATTTTTTAATATTTTTTAAAATATTTTATTTATTTATTCATGATAGAGAGAGAGAAAGAGAGAGGCAAAGAAACAGGCTGAAGGAGAAGCAGGCTCCATGCAGGGAACCTGACATGGGACTCAATCCCAGGTCTCCAGGATCAGGCCCAGGGCTGAAGGTGGCGCTAAACCACTGAGCCACTGGGGCTGCCCTAAATAAATCTTAAAAAAAAAAAAAAAAAAACCACCTGACTTCTAAAGACACATCCCTAACATATTGTTTGTATGTAGAATAAATGTTCTTTTGTCTTTTTTTTAAGATTTTATTTATTTATTCGTGAGAGAGAGAGAGAGGCAGAGACACAGGCAGAGGGAGAAGCAGGCCCCACGCAGGGATACCGGGTCTCCAGGATCACACCCTGGGGTCAAGGCAGGCGCTAAACCACTGAGCCACCCAGGGATTCCCTCTTTTGTCTTTTTTAATGGAATTATGACATCACAGGGTAACAGTGGCCTCAACATCTGTTTGCTGTTTCTTTGCTGCTTTTTTATTAGTCACATCAGGGTACAAACAGCTGCCAAGGTACAAGGGGTAACTTCTCCCAAAGGGCATTTGCATTTTGAAAGGAGAGCCCCTGAATCAGGGGGAGAACCCCAGTGGAGGAATTACAATCATCAGCTAACCTGGGAGAGATGATACTTGGTCAGGTAATTCATTTGAAGGAATTCCAGAAGGTAGGCAGTTGAAAGAAAACTGATTCTGAAATAATGCCCATGACTACCTTTCTGATGCATGAATAGAATTTTTTAAAAGTCTTTGTCTTATTGCTAAAGTAATCGTAGCTGTTTATCACAACACAAAGTAAATTAATGGTTGAGATGTTCCCAAGCTCACTCAAAGGGGCAGGGATGAGGGGGGCACAAGGGTACAGATTTTATTGTTGCTGTTTAGGAAGGAAGTTAGGGTGTGGGGTCTGAATCATCTGCCTGATTGTTCTCTGGAAAGGACAGAGTGTGGCAAAGCAGCCACGAGGGGGAGGGCCTGAGCTGGCAAAATGGAAATCACCTCTGGTTAAGTGTAGACAGATTTCTGCCTCCGGAGGATCAGCCGGTTTCTCAGATAAGCATGCAGTGCTGTTGGAACACCGTATAGCGGAGCAGACCCCATCAGCCACTTCCTTCTTGTAGAATTCCATGGACAAACCAACAAAAATATCTATTTATCTTTAAAATTTATAAATTTTACTACTAAATTTTACTACTAAATTTTACTACTACTACTGGCATGTAGTACATCTTGCTGCTTTCCTGCTTCCTCTGGTTAATTTTAATTCTCTTGTGTGGAAAAGAGGCCAAAACTTCCATGGGCCCATGTGAAGCCCTGAATCTAACAATTTTTACTCTCCTCTAAGATACGTTCAGGACGTAGTATACAGAAAGATGGATTGGACACAGCTTGTTCTCCTGTAGGAAGCCTCTGATTAGCAGGCAGTGCTTTGTGGGATTTGCTGAAGAGGGAAAGAGAGAAGACAGGTTCTTCAGAATGATCTGATTTTCCAAACAGCCTCCCAAATAATTGTCAGAGATTGTTCGACTGGAGCTGGATCTGTAATGACTTTCACACTGGCTTTCAATCAATCCCCCAAATGTTAGCCTGTAATGAAATGCCCAGGGTGAAAACTTGTCTTTGGAAAGTGCCTCAGGGAAGCCATTTCTGTGAGCTACTCATTACTTATGTCTGTCAGAGAATGAAACAGGCTGGTTTGCCTCTAAAGGCCCCTCCATCTGGATACATACACAACCCTAACACTTTTGCCTTTTCTGTTCTAGGGAAGGGAAGGCCGAAGGGGGTCCCCAGGGGCCTTGGTAAGTACCCTATTCTTTCTGCCCTCCATGGTAGATGGTTCCAAGGATTTTCCTCATATGCAGATGGCACTGGGAATGTAAGAGCATTTGACAGGGACTTTGTAGGAAGTGCAGAACATTAGGCATGGCCCCACCAATGCCGGGCAACACAAGGGCCCCTCAGTTCAGCTGCTAGGAACTCGACAGGCCTGACCTAAGGCAGAGCCCCCTTCACAGACACCTCATAGACCAGAGGACCTGAGGGCCATTTGACTGCTTTTCATATGCACGCAAGGAATCGACTGCATGAGAGTGAAATTCTTTACTAGAGTCAGAAACAATCTTGTGTTCATTTTTCAGTATGGAAATGAATAAAATCCTAGGCAAAGTAAAGGGGGAGCCAAGATTCAGTCAAAATAGTACCCGTGTACTATGTATTACGGCATTAGACAGTATAAAGGGAGAATCTGTATGGAAACTGTGTAGAGAAAGTGTTAACACTGAAAATTCATTCATTAGGGGGAGCCGGGAAATCCTGGACCTCAAGGTACCCAGGGAGCTGATGGATTACAAGGCCCACAGGTATGTTGAAGAATTTCATAAATATTGATAAATAATGCTGAGTTATTCGGATGGGGAGCCTGTGGGTAGTTCTGTATAAAAACAAAAAACTGAGAAGTGTTTAATATGCTCTTGATCTCCTCCATGGTTCATGCTTCTGGAATTCTACATTTCCCATCATGGGAGAGTGATTTCGCTCCATCAAACCTGCTCCTGTTTTGCATTTTCCTCCATTGAATAGAGCAAATGGATGCTCTTGTGTTCACCTAGTATTGTATCAATTTGTTAGTAATGAATTATTAAGGCCTTAATATAATATTAGTAGTCAGTATCAGGATCAACAGATTGGTTTTCCCTAACTGAAGCCCTGCACACAGATCCCATGAAGGAAAGTTAGGAATTGAAAATTGTTATTCAACTCATCTAAAGCTAATTCACAGGGAGTGAGTGTGCTTTTAGGATATTACTGATAGGGCTTTACTTGAGCCATTTTTTTTCTTGGTCATACCATTACTGATATGGACATTGGAGTCAGGATATCTCTATCTTTCATGTTAGAAAGATGCTGGGGTCATCCCTAGATAATGGCTTTGTAACACATGGTATTTAGTTACCTTATGGAACTATTTTAAGCCACAACTTGTCTGGAAGGTGTGCATAGCCCTAAGACCTTCTCAAGAATTCATTTTTCTTTTAGCAAGTTTCAGATGATTCACACTAAGGTAGAATTTGCTTTCTCTTGAGGGTTCCAAGGTCCCTGAATCAAGCCACCAGCTAGCAAATCCTTTAAATTGAATAACCATGGAACCAGCCTAGATCCATCCCCAGGCTTTGTAGGGAGAGGAGTGATATTACCTCGGCTACTCTGGGGTCGAGAGTGAACTTAGAGAGTGAACCAAGGCTAGTCCAGTGGATGCAGCCACCATTTTGCACTGGGCAGCCGGGGTCATTTTATAGCTGGTGCTTTGATGGTGGGAAACGCTACTAACACTTCTAGTTTTTTCTTCCATGTGAGAGATCTATACGAGAACCATGTTTGATGGTAAATATAGTAGAAAATATGATTAAATTCCCTTGCTAAAATGTCCTTTTGTGTTAACTGGAAACAAATTTGCTCTCTATTTTACACATTGATGATGAGCTTTTTGGCCCAGGTAACCTGCCCCAACAAAGGAATCCATCTGACTGTTGTTTACGTCTTACTTCCTTCTTCTAAGGGTTTTATTTCTTCTTTTGGTCTCCTGTCCATTTATTCCTGTCAGAGGGGATGGAGTCTTAGACCCAGGGAAGGATTCCTTGATAAGATCTATGCCATTGAGTTGGGGTCTCCTCTCCATTCCTATTGTAAGATATGCTTAACCTCAGACTTAAAGGTCCACTTGAAGGATTGGAACAGTGCTTTTCTGTGGATGTGTTTCAAAAGTATATTTTCATTGCTTCACTGCACTATGTTTCTTTTGTTATCACCAAAGGGATTAAATGGAATTCCTGGCAGGAAAGGAGAGAAGGGAAGCGAGGGGCATAAAGGACCTCAGGTAAGTGACTCAGGTACCTTAGAGTCAGCCATCTCCAGTGAGACCATTTCCTCTTATTTCAAAAACATTGTAATATATAGTTTATTTTTATGTTATCTACATATGGGGCATTTTATTTTTCAATCAACTTGGGTCAAAAAATTGGGGACAAATTTTTAACATAGCCTTGATTCCTTGCACGTCTCTTAAGCCATCCTCTCTCTACTTCATTGGAGGTTTACTGAGAGGGCACAGACCCATCACATCAGCCTGAGGAAAGCATTTAGAAGAATATGAATCTTGCTGACTTGCGGACATTTCAAAACCTGATACACTATTCAGGTTTTTCTGACTTTAAAAAATCTAGCTGTGTCATGCGTATCTCCATTGATGGTAGATATTTGAAACTGAGTATACAAAGATTCCTTGCTACCCAAATTGATTTGATTCCTCAGTTCAGCTTTGAATTCATCCTCTGAATCTCTTTGGCCCTTGAGTTTCTGGCAGTGAGTAATGAGAGTTGGGATGCTGAGGGAGTCCTATGAAAAATGTTCTGAATTTGTTCACTTCTTTAGCTTTCCATAGCAAGAGCTCAGAAGGCAAGGAATACAAGTGTTTGCCCAGTTATTATTGTAGCATGTTTGTGGAAGATATCTTTGGCCATTTGCATACTGGGACTGAAACACATTCTGTTTTGGATGTACGCATGGTGCAGTGCACACACATGGCAATGTCTTGTTCTTACTAAATCAGTTCATCACAACAAATTTGCTGCATTTAGAAATAACATCTGTCATGACAAGAGCACCTTTTTTATTTCTCACTAAGGCCCCATATGAATTAGTGGAATCCCTGCTTATGCAGACTTGGGGTCTTCTAATCGGGTCTATACCGTGAGTCACCTGCTTTGAGTGCAGATGTCTCTCTCCCCTGGGTAGCTGGGTCTCTTATTAAGGAGGCATCAAGAAGCTGTTGGAGGGCAGCCTGGGTGGCTCAGTGGTTTAGCACCGCCTTTGCCTTCAGCGCAAGTCCTGATCCTGTAGACCTTGATCGAGTTCCACTTTGGGCTCCCTGCAGGGAGCCCACTTCTCCTGCCTGTGTCTCTGCCTTTCTCTCTCTCTGTGTCTCTCATGAATAAACAAATTGTCTTTAAAATCATTTTTTTTTAAAAAAAAAAAAAGAGCTTTTGGAAATGACATGAAGAAAAGCAAACATAATCTAATGTCTTTTCTAAGAATTCCTACAGTGACAACATATGTGTCTCCCAATTTCATTCAGGGCTCTTCAGGGCCAGTGGGAGCTAAAGGGAATGCTGGAAGTCCTGGGCCTCCAGGGAAAAAAGTAAGTGTTATCTCTTTAAGATTTCAAATACTGAGAAAAAAGTACCTCCCTTCTTTTCTTCATTTCCATGTTAATTCCTCACGTGATCTAGGCACCATCAACCACCTACCGGCTTTCTGCTGATGCATTCTTTCCCTTCCCTTGAGGAAAGAATTTCTAACTGCTTACCTCTTCCCTGAAACTGCTCCTTTTCACAAAGAGACACAGTGATCTCAAACATCATAAAACAACTCTTGAAAAATCTCTTCACTTCGCCGATTTCCTGAATGCATGAATATATATGATGGCAGAGTCTGACAGGGAGAGAGAGGGTGTCCAGACTGAAATCTATTTGTGCATACAGTTCTCTAATTCACCCGACTGTCTCTGAAGTGGCTCTGTTGGAGAAACTCAGACAGCAGACTATTGGTCCATTCAGAATCCCACTCACCTGCTTAAAACCTTTCAGTGACTCTCTTCTCCAGCTTGGTGAACCTGGCACCTGTGCAGTCACCCTGGGGCTGAGCTCAGAAAGAAGGGCCTCATGCTTGATTTAATGCTCTGCTTTCACCATCTTGAAAGTCTTAGTTCGATTTTACTGATCTTGAGCTTTTCTTGTCTCACTTACTAGGGAGAATCTGGAATTCTTGGAGATCCAGGGCCAATCGGGCAAGCTGGACAGAGAGGAAGACAGGTATGAGGTTTTAGGAACCTGGCTTTTTTGCTATTCTAAAGACTCAGTTCGGTGGCGAAGAGAGGGGGACTGATGCCATCAGCCTAAACACCTGCGGTATTGAGAGGTATTTTAGGACCTCCTAAGAAGATATTGGGACATCCTCCCACGCCCTGCAGCTCTCATTCTATAGCTAGTGGGTCTGTTAAAGCCAGTGGAAAAGGGGGCATGCAGAGAGGATAATGGATAAGTTACAGTAGGATATTTCAATATTTTCACAACCAGTATGGCCATATATATGCATGTCAGCTGAAAAATAGCATTGCCCATTTCTCTCCCTGTCTTGCAAATCTCTAGAGCAGCAACAAGAAGAGGGGAGTAGAGCCAAGAAATGAGCCATCTGTTCTAGTAACTTTGGCTGTACCAGCATCTCTGTCCATGGAGCAGCCAATATAGGAAAGATTTTTTCATTTCTTTTCAAAAATAATGTTTATTATAAATGTTATATATAGATATTGTAGAAAAATGACTAGGCATAGAAGATGAGAAATGGGGAAGAAAAATTACCCATAATCTCACTCTTAACATATTTCTTATTAACATCCTAGAGATACCAAAAAAAAATTACTTAATTTTCCCCTCTTAAAAGTGTATCATGATTATATTTCTGTTATTATATTTCCCCCAAGCATTATTTTTAATAGCTTCAAAATAGCCTACTGAATATGTATACCTTAGTTCATTTGACCAACCTCTTGCTATTGAATACCTGATTTATTTTCAATCTTTTACTGTCATAAACAGCACAGCAATGAACATTCTTGAATCTAAATTTTTAGACAAAATCATAATTTCTATGTAGAAATTTCTAGAAGTAGCATAACTGGTTCAAAGAATGTATGCCTATTTAAGTAAAGCTGAACTCTCTTACAGAGTACCCTCAGGAATATTCAAATAATGTATGCACCATGTGTTATGCAGGAGAATGCACGCTTCAGGGCATCCACACCAATAGTGGGTGTGTCACTTTCTTTTTTTTTTTATCTTTACCAGTTTTATTAACAAGAAATAATATCTCATCACTATTTCAAATTGCATTTCTTTGGTTATTAGTGAAGATGACATTTTTCCATATGTCTATCAGCCATTTGCAATTCTTCTTTGCGGAAATTCCTTATCTATGCCCTTTGAATCAGCTCCTAATATTCCAGGGAAGTAACTGCTACTAACTCCTTTGGTCCTGACTGAGCATTCCTCTGCCCCCACAGTGTTTACAGAGTAGAGCTGGCCAAAGTACCAGGTTACATACCAGGAAATGAGGAGAACTTAGCAATGTGCATGTCCCCAGAGTTCAAGGTCAATGATAAGGCCCCCCTACCTGGAAGTCCCCAGTGCTTCTCTTCTGATACCAGTATAGATTGCGGCTAAGTTTCACTTTTGAGAAATTAAAATGAATTGATATTTTCACAGGGAGATGATGGCATCCCAGGCTATGGTCATATGGGACGAAAGGGCGTAAAGGTAAATATGGAAAGCAATTATTTCTTTAATTGATGGAACAATTGATGCAATAAGTAATACAAGAAGAAACAATCATACTGCAGAAGTGGTCTATTGATTTATTTATGTTTTCTGCTGCAAATTGTAGGGCCCAAGAGGATTCACTGGAGATATGGGGCAAAAGGTACTGTACACATGACTTTCTTTCGAAATGACCATGACCTTGGGGCCTGCATGGCCCAGTGGTTGAGCGTCTGCCTTTGGCTCAGGCCGTGATCCCAGTGTCCTGGGATTGAGTCCCATGTCAGGCTCCCCACAGGGAATCTGCTTCTCCCTCTGCCTATGTCTCTGCCTCTCTCTCTGTGAATAAATAAATAAAATCTTCAAAAAAATTTTCCATGATCTTAACTTTCTACTTGAGAATTAAGATTAAAGAAAAAAACAAAACAAAACAAAAAGCAGGGCAATCGTTTTGCCAGGGCTTCACCAACTAAGGACCATACTTAACTACTATGGATCTTTAAATTCAAAAAGATTGTCCTGTCCTTCATGGCTGGATATCCCTGGTCTTGAAACTCTACCTCTAGATATCCTCTCGAGTTTAGTCCTTCTGTCCTCTTGATTTCTCTGCCTCAGGGAGTCTCATTCCAAACTCTTGGCTTCTGCTATTGCTATCTGTTCTTTATCATTGTAGCCTTCACTGCCCTTCACCTGGAAGGTGACAACAGTCTTTTCATTGGTCTCCACTTCCACCTTCTCACTGCATCGGTTAGTCCCAAACACCACTGTCACTCGGTATCTTCCATAGTGTAACCTACTCATGTTCCTCTCCTGAGCAGTTTTCAGAATTCCTCATTGCCTCCCAGATTGAAATCCACCTCCATGCTCTACAACCAGACATACCTTCCATTTCAGTCCGAGTGGGTCCTGTTATGTCTGTTCTTATACACTGGAATTCTGGGATAAGATTTCCTTTTTTTTTTTTTTTCTAACGTGTCCCATCTAGAAGAGTGTCTTCCAATAGTTGGTGCTCAAATTAAAATACAAAATATGGATTACAAAAAATTGAATGTCTAAACAGATCAAATCAACTATAGGAAAACAGTCAATTTTTGAATCCTCTTAAAAGAGCTTTTAGGGACACCTGGGTGGCTCAGTGGTTGAGGGTCTGCCTTTGGCTTAGGGCATGATCCAGGAGTTCTGGAATAGAGTCCCACACTGGGCTCCCTGAAGGGAGCCTGCTTCTCCCTTTGCCCATGTCTCTGCCTCTCTCTCTCTCTGTATCTCTCATGAATAAATAAATCAAATCTTTTTAAAAAATGCTTTTAATGGATGAATTTTACCAGAAGAGATTCTTTCTTTAGCTAAAGAAGAGTGCAAAAAGGAAATATATAAAAAACTATTAGGATAAGAGTTCTCATTATAGAAGACCAATTTTCTAATAAAGGGAGAAAATTTGCATATTTCAATTTAGGGATAAATGTGAAATTAGTTTTTTGATAAACAGGTGCTAAAATTCATTTCTCACCAAGATCAGAGTAAATTTTTTTAACCTTCAGCTTTTTCAGAAATGATTCATGAATTTAGGAAGTAATTAATGATTTAGTATTTTCTGTAGTTAATACTCCATATGTTTTCTCTGATTTTCAAGGATTTTTTTCTTTAGATACTTTTAGTAACTGATTGGGTAGCCATTGCCTTGATATTTATGCATAAATATTTGTATTCTTAGAAAATTAAAAATAGTTTGGGAAATATTTAAGTGTATTGATGACTTCGTTCCAAGAGACAGAAGTTGACATTTACTGTTTAATATATAGTATAGTTATAAGATCAATTCAATATTATATTAGAGAAAATTATTTTTATTCTTTCATAGCAAATATTTTAATATCTTGATTTCTTATATCTTAATTTTTAGGGTGATGTTGGTGATCCTGGAGTTCCTGGAGGTCCTGGACCCAAAGGATATAGGGGATTATCAGTAAGTGACCTATAATTGCAGAAATAATAGATGTTTTCTTGGAAGACTCTGGCTTTTGTGTTGTAATAATAAATGTGGATTATTGATCTAACCTAAGGCCACTGAAATGCTATTCCCTGACTGTGTGACCTTCACCACACCTTTTCAGGGTCTCTATTTCTATAACATGAGACTTGAACTTGACACCAAAGATCACTTTCAACTCTAAAATTCTCTATGGTTCCATGAATCTGAACTATTTTAAAGATTTATAGATTGATAACTGGCTGTTCCAAGAAATGTCAGTGCCTTTAGTATTTTCTAAGACACATTAAAGCCCAGAATATTAACCCTGAATGGAAATGCAGCAGACTTCTTCCCACTGTGTCCCTGAGAGTTTTCTGACAATTCCACTACCCATAACCAAGGTCATCTAGAGTATTCATTTTAAGGAAAGCTGTTGAGATCTTCTAATTATCATAGAGTAGAATGTTACAGTTTTTTAAAAAACAAAACGCTGAGCCAAGCATCTTTTCATTTTGAAGTGTGAGTATGATATCAGTGGTCATTATCAGCATGAAAGAGATGCAGTTCGCCAGATATTTTCTATCTGGCTGGACAAATTTCATTAGCATCCATATCCATCACCCAGAAGCATGAGAATGGCACCGCCCACTCATATCCTTTTATGTATGGGGAGAATTATTTTTTGTATTTGATCCTTTGCAGATGGGAAGTTTTTAATTAGATCTCTGTGTGCCCTAGTATATTTGTTTTTTTTTAGTACCAATCCTAGTTTATGACTAATTTACATTCCAATGCACAACCAGTGCCAGAGCAAAGTATGTTACTAAATGGAGAGGCTAAGAGGGAAATGGATGTTTTCCAATGGTTAAGAATGGCTATTTATATTATAAGTAAGGCATTTACTTGACTTGAATTAATAGTTGCTTTCTTTAAAAACATTTTTTTTTTCTAAGGAGTGCCTGGGTGGCTCCATGGGTTAAGTGTCTGGCTCTTGATTTCAGCTCAGGTCATGATCTCAGGGTTTTGGGATCAAGCCGCACGTTGGGCCTGTGCTCAGCCTGGAGTCTGCTTGAAATTCTCTCTCTTCCTCTCCCTCTACCCCTACCCCTGCTCACGGGGCTCTCTAGATAAATAAATAAAATCCTTAAAAAATGTTTTTTAATTGTAAAGTCTCATTAAAACTGAGAAAGTTTGATAGACAGTGTAAAAACTAAATCATGTTCCTATCTGCAGCTCACTGTTGGCCGGAAAGGTGAGGAGGGATCTCCAGGACCCCCAGGCCCTCCTGGACGAAGAGTAAGTACACCATGAGAACTAACTAACCTATACTGGTCTCTAGGATGTTCCCTGGAAGGGGTACAGAATTTAAAGTCAGACCGCTGGGTTCAAGTCCAAATTCTGCTTCTTGCTAGCTGTGTGCCCTTGGGCCAGTCACCTGGTCTCTCAGTTTACTTCCAAAATGGGGATGACATATCCTGTCCTACTACCTCAGAAGGTAGCTGAAGATCAGGTTCTCAAATGTGAGCACTCTCTGTGAATGATAAAGCTCAATGCAAATATTAGCTGTTACTGTTTTTGTTTTTGTTTTTGTTTTTGTTTTTTTAGCTAAAGCTTAAAAATAGGGATGGGAATGCATAAGCTTCATAAAGGTGTCCTGGCAAAATTCCATCATGCAAGACAAGTTGGTGGTTTCCCAAATCACTCTTGTTGCCTTCCCATCTTCAAAATGTAGAACTCCAGAGAGATTTGGAAATATAACTGCAGTTTCCCGCTATGCTTCCACTGCAAGAGAAATGTCGCCTCTGGAAGCATTCCCAGGCAGAGTCAGGCACATCTCCCAGTGATGAAACATCCATATCTCTATTTTAGTGCCTCTCATGTTATCATAATGATTTATTTACACACCTCTCTCCCGTGATGAGCATAATCGGGTAAGAACTAAAAGTTGCCAACACCTGGGTTTGTGTAGGAGGTGCAGGAAGCATTGTGTACAGCATGGAGAAACAGTTTATCTTGTTTTGTGCATTCTGAATGCTTTATGACTACCTGCAGGGGTTCTTTGACTTGGGATCTTCTAGAGAGAAAACTAAAGCATGGATGTTTTGTGGATGACAATAGAATGAGAGTCAACTGGCTGTAAAGGATACTCTAATACATCCTTTTTCTTTCACATTAAGGAACTAGTGAATATGTAGCCTCCTGGGTGAGAACCTAGTCTCTGAGTCATGCTGATCTGGTCTGGATTTCTCTCCTTTCCAGATTCTGGAGCTCCCATGTGGGGATCCTGCATCTTCCCAGCCTAGTGCTTGGCACTACTGGTCCACTAGAGTATGGTTTCACTGTCTTGAGCTTGCTGGTCTGCCAGAACACAGCTTCTCTGACTTGGGCCCTGCTGATCTGCTAGAATCAGATTAGCTTCTTTGTCTTGAGCTTTCAATCCTCAGCCTCTGCTTAAGAGCTTGCTCAAATTCTTCTCCAACTCTGTCCTTTAGGACAGATGCTCTGAGCTCTGATCCTCTGTAAGATGTGGGCTGCTTATCTATTTATTAGTCAGAAACTTCCTCTCTCTGTTTAAATGTCTGTGCGTTCTTTTCTGTCTTCTGTAATAGCCTACAAAAGGAAGGATGAAACTCTGCATCTCTTAGTGAGACATGTAATTTCCTGATTCTGGTCAGGAAGAACCTGGGCTCCCAGTGGGTAGAATTATAGATGCCACACTTCTGGATAGCACCAGCAGCACACAATGGGCCATCTCAGCATTCAGCAGACATTTAACTGTTTATTAGGTGGATTGATGCATGGATGGTTGGATGGATGGATGGATGGATGGATGGATGGATGGATGGATCAATGGATCAACGGATGGATTGATAGATGATGGTTAGATGTACAGATGACCCAGCTGTCATTCAGAATAGGGGTTCTTAGACTGACATCCCTGGTTGAGCTTCTGAGGCCAGTGAAATTGTATGAGTGTAAGCTTGTAATAGCATTTTCTGGAGCCAGTATACTAGGATTCACCAGCTGCCCAAAGAGACCTATGTGCATTGAACATGTTAAGAACCGCTGCCAAGGAGAAGGCTGATCCTGATAAAGGAAGTAATAAGGGGAAAAGAGAAAATTTCAAGCTGTGAAAAAAAGCATTGCCATTTTTTTAGGAAGCTTCCTTGATTCATTTCAGGCAATTATGTGTACTCCTTTGTTTATAACCTCTCACATTTATGAGCTTACTCTTAGGTGTAATGCTCTTCTTTTGTGTAATGCCTATTTTGCCCTGTAAAATGTCTCTGGTTCTTTCACATATGTAGAGGTTGTATGCTACCACCTGCATTTTAAATGGCTTGATTTGTAATACATCTGGACCTCTGAATTCTCAATAAATTCCTCTCCTTGTGGCATGCTTTGGGAAGCCTGTTGTTTACATTTCAAGTTTTCTCATGAGAAGTACCTTCTAAGTGTTATATCTTTAGTACAAACATCTTTAAAAAATACTTTTGGGGCACCTGGGTGGCTCAGTGGTTGAGCGTCTGCCCTTGGGACAGGTCATGATCACAGAGTCCTGGGATCAAGTCCCACTCAGGCTCCCTGCAGGGAGCCTGTTTCTCCCTCTACCTATGTCTCTGCCTCTTTCTCTCTGTATCTCTCATAAATAAATAAAATCTTTAAAAAGAAAAAAGAAAGAAATACTTGTTTCTTTACTTCTCACCTACAAAAGTAATTCAGTTCACTCTGAGCAGACATTAGCTTAACTGATCTAACACTGAAACAAAGAGGTTTGCACCTTGATTAAGTAGGGAAATAGCATTGTAATCTACCAGTTCAGGAATAATTTAATTGCTCTCTGCCAGCTGTGTTTTTAAGAATGAAGGTTTTTTTTTCTTTACTCTTGTTCTGTCACTCAAATTTACATACCAATAACTTGCTCTGGTTTTGTTTTCCTAGGGCATGAAAGGCATGGCAGGGAAGCCTGTATATTCTGTACGTATTCCTTATTCACAAATGAAAACCTAACCAGTCCAATAGCAAATAAATATGGCAACTCAGAGGTTGCTGTGCTCATGTTTCTGTTCTCTTTTTCTTTTTTTATTTACAGCAATGTGATCTGATCCAGTTCATGCGGGACCATAGTCGTGAGTATCTGTGTGTCATGGAACAAGGGAGTTGGTGTATTGGTGAGGGCTCTTAGGAGGTGTGGTGTGGGTATGCAGAATCAGTAAACTGAATCCACTGGTGGCATGCGTCCTCTACAACAGGCTTGTCCCGAGTACTTGCTGTAGGAACAGCTCACATCAAAGGTGGGAAGGAAAAGGGTATAAGTAAAAGACTCATGAAGTGTGATTCATATATGAGAGAAAATGTGCTTATGGGAAACAATTAGAAACCAACTCAAAAGTTGTGTGAATTAGCTCACATGAATACAACAATTTTGTACAAAGGTCTGTGAGGGATAGTGTAAAGGGATGAGCTTGGGGATTTCAGCTGAGTTAGTTACTGAGTCAATGAAGTCTCCTTGGATGGGATTACTTGAGTCTAGTTAGAGGGAAGTGATGGGGAGAGGCAAGAGAATAATTTCAGAAGAGGAATAAAGCAGGAGTCAACAGAGAGATTGTCTTTGGTTATGAAGAAGGGAAATGAGGTAGAAAAAGCCAAGTGATTTCATTTGTGAAAACTTATCCCAAGGACATAAAGCAAAAGAAAGAAAAATGATAGTCAAATATGTTGTTGAAATATTATTCATTAAAACAAAGTGAATGAAAATACCTTTAGACTGCTTGCACTTAGAGACTAGTTAGGCTATGGTGTATCATCTTCTTTTTTTTTTTAATTTATTTATGATAGTCACAGAGAGAGAGAGAGAGGCAGAGACACAGGCAGAGGGAGAAGCAGGCTCCATGCACCGGGAGCCCGACGTGGGATTCGATCCCGGGTCTCCAGGATCGCGCCCTGGGCCAAAGGCAGGCGCCAAACCACTGCGCCACCCAGGGATCCCGGTGTATCATCTTCTAATCAAATACCAAGCAGATATGTTTTTTTTTTAAGATTCAATCAGAATATGAATAATACTGTCATTAAAAGGAGAAAATTATATTGGATTCTTAGTATTTTTACATATAGGTAAATATGTACATAAAATAAGTTCTAGAAGCAAAAGTAGAGAAATGTAACAACTTACTTTATTAGAATGGTAGAGTTTTAGGTGATTTGTCTTTTTTCATGCTTCCATTTTGACTTATAATGAGGCTTATACAATCACAGTCAGAAGAATGTAAGATGGGAAAACTGGAGAGACCTAACCTATCATTGGATAACAATGTAGGCATTGCAAGTGTGAGGCAAGGAAAGAACAACAACAAAAACAAGTTTGAGATATGTGTAAGGCCAGAGCAGGAGAGGCTTAGTGCCACTGTGGAAGAGAAGGCAGGAGGAACTGGGAAAGAGAATCTCTTGGTAGGAAAATAGGATGACTCTAAACATTTTAGAGGCAGAGAAATGCTGTGTGGGCCCTAAATTAAATCATCAGCAGGCAGCTAAATAAATGGACTGAAATAAAAGTGAGAGTCAAGAGAGGAGACTGGGATGTTGAAGTCATTTCACTCCTTAAGGTCACAGGGATAAGTGAGGTCCTAAGGATGTGAAATACAGAAAAGGAAACAGAAAGCCAAGGGGTGAACCCAGGAAAACATCTTAGCAGAAAAAGTGGAGCCAAAGGACAGCAGTGGCATTACAGAGATGAGAAAGTCCCACAAATGAGGGGAACTTGAAAAGAAGCAAGAAAAGGCCAACGGACAGAAGATTCAAAGGGAAGGGACCTGGGTGGAAAGACATTGCTCAAGAACGTCTCTCCAGGCTCTCCAGCACCCAGAGGAAGTGAGAACCAGGGTCTGGGGCCCCAGGTGCAGGGCATAGAATAGAGGGAAAGCCATTGTAGGGGAAGAGAGTTCTCAGGAAACCAACAGGTATCTTCCCAAGGAAGAATGAAGGAGGAGGAAGTCGTGGGGGAAATAAACTCTGGCCTGTTGAGGGTTAGTGATTTGAAGACAGTTTTCCAACCCTGAATGAAAGGAGTTAGCTGCAAAATTAGGGGGCCAGGGGAATGTGGGTTCTGTAACCAGACAGGGTGCTGATTGGTAAGCATGGAACTCCAGAATGCAGAACCCAGATGGGATTTGGGTGACATATCTTTAGAGCTAATTCAGAGGGCCTCATTTTATAGGTGACATCATGGAGGCCCTGTGGGGTTGGGCTCCTGGTCTAACATGTTTGCTTTTCAGTCCTATAACACTGCACGAAGGCCAGTGACTGAGACCCTACCCCCAGAATAAAACAAGAGCTCTAGGGGGCTGAGAGGAATGTGGAGTATAGGTGGTTGTGTTAGGAGTTAGTTGGATACGTAGGTAGTCAGGGCCAAGGTCTCCAACAAGAAAACAGGGAGTTAGAACAGCTAAGGCGAAAACTCACTAGCATACTGTTTTACAGCTTAGCATCCTGTCTAGCAGCTTTTGCAGAAGTGACTTTCACAAAACATCTTGAAACAAAACAATTAACTATAAAACATTGGTCACTTTCACCAGTTGAAGCAGTTAAGTCTTCAAATGTCAGCCCAAAAGACCATCAACACATGATCAGTAACCAGATAGATAAATGGGTACATTGATCAAAGCCCTGATTTAGGAGGGCTAACCTTAGGAGCCGATCCGTCAGTTGCAAATAAAATAGGAGGGCCCAAATGATTAGAATTTTGGAAGGAGGGGGCATAAGTAAAGAGGATTTTTTAGGAAAAATAAACATACTAAAAGAGATCAAGTAGTTTCCCCTGAAGTCAAGCAGTTTTGTCACACTCAAACCCAGACAGGGGTGTCTGTTTCTAGAGACTGTGTTTCTAGCCTCACAGTTGGGTTGAAGGTTAACAAATGTAGGTTCTCAGAGAAAAAGGGATCCTTTGCAGCCCTTGAGATGCAGAGAACGCTGTGGGTTCTGAGTCCCATCTGTGGTGGTTAGCATCTCAGCAGCCACAGTGTTAAAACAATCAAAAGGTGTTAATAGGGGTGACATGAGAAAGCATGAGCTGTGGGACAGCAGGGTGGAGGCTAGGTTGTTGCCAGTGCTAATAAAATATTTTATTATATCAGAGTGACTCATTTGCTTTTTAAGAACTGAGAAAAATGAGCAAGGAAACTGTCAGGCCAGTGCTTTCTAAAGATTTACCAACATCTCCCTCTGATTGGTCCCCTGCTTATAGAGTAAATCACTTAGAAAAACCAGATGCTGTTTTGCTCAGGAGAAATCCTTTGGGGGCTTTCCCTCCTCTCTCTAGATATGGATATCACTCAAACACAGGAGCTGTATTTTTTAGCAAAGACCAAGTTTATTTGGAAACCCCCATATTTCTGCAGGAAAAGAGAGGTTCCCAAGGTGTTCATCTGGGAGGAAAATAAGCCCTCATATTTTAGCCTTGCCTTGCTGAATGACTCTCAAGGCTGTAAGAAGAGAGACAAAACAAATTGAATTTGAGCTATCTTGCCTTTTAATCAGAGGCTCATCTATTCTGCTTCTAAAACAAGTGATCAGCGTTTCAGATTTCAACTGGGATTGTGCTGAAGTCTGCTGGTCATGGCTCACAAGGACAAAAAGTCAGGAAGGTTCACCCATTAATAAAATTCTGTGTACGTGTTCCCCAGGCCTCTAACCTTGGCTTCCTATAATTTAGGAATTAGCCTTATTTGCAAATAGGGTCAAATAAAATATTAAGCTTTGCCGAAATTTTGTTCTGGGGGATTATTTTTAGCCTGTGTGCCAAAATGTAACAGATTCTTCTCTCTCTTTCTCTCTCTCTTTTTTAATAGCCTGTTGGAAAGGTGAGTATTCTTACAATACTGTGATTCTTGCTGAAGTAATTAACTGCATTCTGACAAGACCAATTTGAAAGAAACTCTCAGTCCCATGGAAGAAAGGACTTCTTCCTTCTATGCAGACACGTCCATCTTGGGATTATAATTGTCAATATCATGCTTCTACCTGATTGTGAAATAGTGACACCCAGCCCTAAGCCCCTTTACACTGTTGTGCTTTCTAGGTCCTATCTCCATTCACAATTCAGTTTCTTTATGGAATAGGCCCTCTTTGCTGGGGAATTCAGGAATGGGTCTCTGAATGACCCCATTTTCTTGCTCTTTGCTGACCCTATGGACAATGGCTTCTTGGATGGGTGATGTTTCCTTTCCTGTCTCTGACCCCCACACACATCATTCATCTCACCAAGTGCCTACCACTTATAACCTGACCTTGCTGTGGATGGTCTTCTGGGGGCCTCGACCACAGTGGGTGTCACATAGCACCTTAGGTCTCTTGGACTCCATTGCCTCTGAAGCCAGTTGTCAACATCAAGAACTCCTGGTCTTCCAGAAGCCTGCTGTAGTAGACCCATAGAGACCTATCCCAAAAGTTTGAGCTTATCCTAAAGTTCGGCATCATTAATTTCAATTCTGAAAAATAAACAAACAAACAAAAAAACCCACCAAAAACCCTTTTACATGTAAGTGCCCAATAAAACTTAATTGGATTTGAATTGCATTTATCAGGTATCCTGCTGGGCACTAGGAAAAGGAAAAAATAAATAGAAACTGGTTCTGCTTTCTGGGAGAATCTGTAGCAATAGGTCAGTTTTGAAGATACTTGCCTCTCACTTCTTCAATAATTTTTAGTACTAGGGCTAAGATGGGAAAAATACTTAATTTTTCATATTTTGTTGTTCATCATTAGCTTTGATATTTTTTCTTCAGTGTAAAATTCCTCGATTCAAAACATCTCTAAATCAACCCTTCCTCTCCTATTGCTGAGAACAGTGGTTTGGGGTGTGGGATATTTAGAGTCTGATGTGCTTGGGGAGTTAGCCAGATTGAGAATATAGAGCAGCCTCTGTATATGGGAGTGTTTGTTTTTTAAATAATCCCTTTTTTCTCTTCCTGTGTTCAGACTTTAATAGTACTTTGAAAAGTTAGGTTTGATACATAAGTCAATCCCTGTGAGATTCCTAAAGTTCAATCATCAGAAGACAATTGCAGACAGCTCCGTTTTTATAACAGCTCATTACAAGCCTGCTGTGGTCCTGCTGGGCCCTTCTTCCAGCCGCCCTTGCTTTCATTTAACAGCTAGCTTCCATGGGGGCCCCTTTCTTGGGAAACAGCCTCTTTGTCCTCTGAATGCTTACAAAGAATAATAGTCACTCTGTACCTTTCCATGGAGTGATCCTCCCCAGCGTAGATTCCTTGAGGGCAGTCTTGAATTTGGGTCATCTTTGCATGTGTCTCAGTGTACATCACCCTGCATGTCACCCTGCATGCTACTCAGTGAATTATTTTTTGCATAAGTGGATCAAAATCTTCTATCATTATTAGTAGATCATTTCTGAAGATTTTTAAAGACTGTAAACTTTCAAAACCCTCAATAAGCCATAATATCCTTTTATTCATTTCTTAATTTACTTAGAGTAAAACTCATTTTTTTTGTGTGAGTTCTGTTTCATCACCTGCAAAGATTCACGTAACTACCACCACAATCAGGATTCAGAGCTGTTCTAGCAGCACAGATACTCCCCTCAATTTCTTTTAAATAGCAGACTGATTGAGGGCTGTGAAGTTTGAGCATCATACCACCACATATGAATGCTCAGACTTCTACAACACCTTCACATGAACAAAGCATTACTTATGCCTACCTCTAGTTCTAGAGCCAAAGGCAACACCTGCAACTCCCTAGCCTTTGGTGTAAACCAGCCTCAACCCTGGAGTAAAAGGAAGGGGAAGGACTTTTGATCAGTGAAATAACTTCATACTTCTGCTTTTTATGTTTGCAGAAAAGTGTCCAGTGTACCCAACGGAGCTGGTATTTGCCCTGGACCAGTCCAGTGGTGTCTCTGAACAGAGATTTAATGAAATGAGAGACATCATCACGTCCATTGTCAATGACCTTAAAATCAGGGAAAGTAACTGCCTTGTGGGAGCAAGAGTTGTTGTGGTTTCCTATGACACAGGCACCAGCTACCTCATCCGCTGGTCAGACTACCATAGCAAGAAGCAGCTCCTCCAGCTTATTTCCCAGATAAAGTATCGACCTCCCACAGAAGCCCAAGACATTGGTAATGCAATGAGGTTTGTGGCCCGGAACATTTTCAAGCGGACATACGGGGGAGCCAATGTGAGGAAAGTTGCTGTGTTTTTCAGCAGTGGACAAGCAGCCAGTCAGTCATCCATCATCACAGCCACCATGGAATTTAATGCCCTAGATATCAGTCCGGCAGTCTTTGCTTTTAGTGAAAGGATTTTCCTTGAGGCTTTTGAGGTATGAACTTCTCTTGGCAACTTCTTTATGTTTAACATAGTGGTACTGTTAAGGATAGTAGGCAGTGGTGGGGCGGGGGGGGGGGGGCTGGATATGTGGTCTCTTGACCCCATCTGCAATTTTCCCAGCTATATTGTTGCCAAAGTCCATGAAATCCAATGTGTAATAACAACAGTAGTCAGTAATAATAGCAGCCCATTTGCTCAGCTCCTACTGTGTGCCAGGCACTGTCCCTAGAATTTTATATACATACTCATAACCCACTGCTGAAGTGAATGTTGTTATCCCTATTTAAAAATAGGGAAACTGAGGCCCAGAGAGTTTGAGTGACTTCTCCAATTTTGTACAGCTAATAAATGACTAAATCAAAATTTGAACTAAGGTTTTTCTGATTGAAGGGGACTTAAATATGGTACTCTATCAGCCCCCTGCAGATCAGGTGTTTCTAACATCTGTCCTCTGCTTGCTATATCTCATTGAATAGCTGGTTTTCACTTATGATAGATGAAGTTTAGGAGATCTTTGAACCCCTAATGTTGTATAAAACATTTAATGTAAATGAACATATGAACACAAGAGAGGCGTCTGCCTTTGGCTCAGGGCATGATCTCAGAGTCCCAGGATTGAGTCCCACATGGGGCTCCCTGCAGGGAGCCTGCTTCTCTTCCCTCTGCCTGTGTCTCTGCCTCTCTGTGTCTCTCATGAATAAATAAATAAAATCTTAAAAAAAAAAAGAACACAAGAGAGGTTTGGATCAACAGATTCTTATGGGAGTCTATATTTCCTCCTCTCCCCCCAAAACTGAAGAATTTCTCCACCTACTGTTTTACTGTTTTTAAATATATTCAGATTAGTCATGAACTACATGCTCCTGGAGCTGGGTAAAGCTATTGTGTTGTCCAAGAGATTACAAAGGTCTAAATATATACACAAATACATCTTTCTACTGTAAAAAAAATAAAATCAAAATGGAGGCCCTCTATGACACGAAGAGAATCAATCTGCTCATGACACATCCAAGAAGTTTTTGGATATAGGAGCCACAGGGAAAGTCACAATATAAACTGATAAAAAGGATTGTAGGAAGTCAAAGTTTTGTCTACAAAAATGACTACCTCCCAACATACTAGATTATTTACTTATTTGTTGTATTATGGTATATGTCCCTATTGTACTAGACTGTAAGGTAGAGATTTTATCTGCTTTGTTAATTTCTGTATCTCCAGCATCTAGAATACTATCTATAACATTATAGGCATTCAATAAATATGTATTGAATGAATGAATGAGTGAATGGATGAATGAAGAGCATATGGTTTATTCCTGTGAACAAACTTCCTTGATTTACCAAGGCAGCATTTAGTCTTTCCATGGGAGACAAACAAGGTCAAATACAAAATAATACCCAAAGCATCCAATTTCATAAAAAAAATAGTAAGGAATGTAGTAAATACTTTTTGACTAAAAGGCTGGAGTAATTATAAATATTTTCAAATGCTCACTCAATGTTTTACAGAAAAACAGGGTGTAACTTTTCTAACCCTTTACCTTCCCAAGGAAGAAGGGGGAAAAAACATAAATATCCCTGTGGATTGAGAAATACCTCATCACCACCCAGGAATGATAGGTTTCTTTCATTGTAATAAAGGTATCTGCTTTCCATGGTGCCTCACACAGAGTAAATGGCCAATAAGTAGTTATTGACTCACTGAATGAATGAGTGAATTAAGAATAAATGAATGCCCTATATTGTACCTCTCAGTAAGTATTGAAGCAAGAAAAGCAACCAAGAGACAGACGAAATGAGACTGTGTGCTACCAAGAATTTTGAATAGACTTAGTATCTTTTGTCTACTATCTTTGGAAATAAACTTTTAAATTAGAATTTGTGATTGAGGAAATCTACTTGACATCTGAAAGATGTACCTTCTTCTAAATAGGGTTATCGGGGGTGGAAATAGTTGGGATCACTGCTTAAAGAAGCCAAGGGAAACTTGTACGTAAACAAAATTTCTGCAGAATCCAACTTCAGAAGCTGATGTGTGGCACATTATCAGCTGGTGCATAATCGGAAGCGTATAGGGGTACCTGGCTGGCTCAGTCAGTAGGGCATGAGGCTTGATCTTGGGGTTGTGAGTTTGAGTTCACACATGGGGTACTTAAGTACACATGGGTACTTATTATTATATGTGCTGCTGAAGCGAGCACACACATGGGTACTTAAAAATAAAATCTTAAAAAAAAGCACATAAAATTCAATGAGAATTTCAGAATTGGAAATAAGTGTGAGATTTTAATGCTTGCCTCAGTGGGTGAATCTAATGGTTATTGTGTGATAGTTTTCTCATCATAAAATAAAGATGCTGATAGTTGAATTACTTCCTTGTGTTGTTTAAAAGGAGGATTGTGTGTGTGTGTGTGTGTGTGTGTGTGAGAGAGAGAGAGAGAGAGAGAGAGAGAGAGAGAGAGAGAGAGAGAGAAAAGATGTACTCAATAGAGCAAAGGGCTATAATGCAAGATAATGGTGATTAGCTAGGCGTTTTTCAAGCCAATCCTTAAAGTGAGTTCACAACGGCTCCCTGATAATGGTGAAAGAAAATGAGCAAATATACTTGTTTTTCATTACAGTTTGACAATACTGGAACATTCCAGGTGATCCCAGTTTCTCCAAATGGGAAGTATGAGCCATTAGAAAAATTTCAACACTGTACACTTTGCTACGGTAAGACCCATGAAAATTTATTGTGCTGAAACAATTAAATGCCTTCTGGGTGAGTTATTAAATCTGGCTTTATCAGATATTTCTAGTGTTGATTGTAGATTTATTTTAAGTTTCCTAGTCTTTTAACACCATACGTTAGGGTTTCAATTTCTGTAATATTTAGAGCTTCCAGAGAATGTGAAAGTTGGTTTAAAATACTATCCTAATTGATATGGCTTTTCTTTGGGGAACATTTTGGTAGTGTGTATCAAAAACCTCTAAATATTGAAAACATTTTCTAAATGAGTTTAGATATTACTTACAGACTTCAAGCATACATGCTACCTACATCTGCTTTCAACAAAGACTTTCCCAAATTGCCACAATTCTAGTGGCCACAGAAATATTGGGACATTGAAAATTCTTCATTAATTTAAATAATCAGTTTATTAATTATTGGTAATAATTAGTCACTAAAGCACTTGAAAAATATCTCAAACAACAGTGTCTTGTCGTGCAGACATTGAATCAATCATGAATCTCTCTATGTGTTTTCAGATAAATGTTTTCCAAATGTTTGCATCAAAGAGATTTTTCTACCTGAAAATTCATACATGGATGTGGCTTTCCTCTTAGACAGTTCTCAGACTATAGCAAATGATGAGTTTAAGGCTGTGAAAACCTTGGTGAGCTCTATGATTGACAACTTCAACATTTCATCAGATCCAAGAATCTCAGACTTAGGTGATAGGATTGCCTTGTTGAGCTATTCTCCTTGGGATACTTCTAGGAAAAAGAAGGGTGTGGTAAAAACAGAGTTTGGATTTACAACTTATAATGACAGAGTCCTAATGAAGAGGCATATCCAGACTTCCCTCCAACAGCTAAAAGGAGAAGCTACCATTGGCCATACCCTACTGTGGACTGTGGAGAACCTCTTCCCACAAACGCCCAACTTGAGAAAACACAAGGTCATTTTTGTGATCTTAGCTGGAGAGTATCATGAGAGAAAGGAATTCTTGAAGAAGGTAGCTCTGAGGGCCAAGTGCCAAGGCTATGTCATATTTGTGGTTTCCCTGGGCTTTACACATAAGGATGACATGGAAGAGTTAGCCAGCTACCCACTTGATCACCATCTGATACAGCTTGGGAGAATTCATAAACCAGATCTGGATTATGTTACGAAGTTTGTAAAGCCACTTGTTTACTATATCAGACGTAAGTCATTGTTTTGTTTTTCTTCTTTGTTTTAATAAATTGGTGTATGTTAATAGTATTGATAGCCTAACACATCTTTGAATCTCTAGCTAACCCAAATATACAAATTAGATGGTGAGAGGGAGAGAGAGGTGGGACATACCCTGATTATACCCCGTTTTTACCATAATGTGGTGAGACTTTTTTCTTGAGAAAGTGTCTTTTACACAAAATCTCAGCACTAAAATCACGGAGTGATTGGAGGTCTCTAGAGCCACATCTGCTAACCTAAAGAAGTTTTAGTAGTTCTTTGATGAGCATTTACATTGAAAGTTTGCCCTACTGCACCTGGTTTATTTTCAACCTTGGTACACCCTGGAGACCTGTATGAAGGTTTAAAGATGGCACAGTCCAAGGAGTTTAAGCATACAAATCATATAGGAATCTTGTTAAAACTCAAATCCTGGTTCAGCCTGTAGAGGGTGGAGCCTGAGACTCTGCATTTCTAACAGTGATGTCAATGCTTCTGGTCCAAGAATGACACTTTGAGTAGGAAGGCTTGAGGCCAATGCACTACAAAATGTCACCTGTTGGATGGGCAAGAGTCCACAAACTGATCTGCAAGCGAGAAATACAGAGATTGAGAATAAGCAGCTATAAACTTTTAAGGCAATTTGACATTGCCTCAGCATGCAAGTGCATGAAAGTGTACTCTGTCTCATATGACAAGATGGAATCCACAAGGATCAGTCTGCAAAGGATTAGAAATAAAATACCTTCCCCACAAATGATTTGAGAAACTCTCTAGAGCAGTAGTTCTTGACTAAGGATGATTTTACCTCCCAAACATTTGGAAATGTCTGGAGATACTTTTTTTTGTCACAACTGAGGGAGAGGATTCTAGCATCTAGTGCATACAGACCAGGGATGCTGCTAAACATCTCTCTAAAGCACAGGATACCTCCCGAAGGAAAAAAAAAAGATACAGCCCAAATTGTCAGTAGCACTGAAATTGAGAAACCCTGACTCTAAGGCATCCCACAGAATCATGGCTGAACCTGTTCCTTCTGGGACTCTACCAGGTTCAGACCTAAGTTCTGTAGGAGCCAGTCTCACCACTCTTTGAATTCCAAAGTTGCCCTGGTGTTTGAGGAATCTCCAATAGCACCATCATGATAGTATCTTGAGAGTTCCCTCTCCGTTGCAGAGAAAGCTCGATCTTTTTGCTGTAACTCATATTTGATTGCAGAGTCCAATATTCTTGGGAATATCATGTTATTTCTTTAAATGCCTTCTATTGTATGATACACCATTATATTATATAAAAAGAAAGAAAAGTGCTTCCAATTTAATGTTGATATCAACTTGCCTAATAGAGTATTGTATTTTATAGTAACAGAGTTCTTTTAGACTAGCAAATGTCACTCTTGTGCATGCATAAACAGGGCATATGTATGAAATAGACTAGTGGGGGCATTCCTAAAACTTCTTTACACTCAAAACTGGACTCCTGTGAGCTATTTCTTGACTCCAATTCACTGAGATCTATCTTGTTCAGTGCAACATTATTCTTCATGTTGTCAAGATAGATGGTGACACAGCACTTTTAAAAGACTCTATAAAAACAATTCAAAGCTGGTCTTGCTGGGCTCCTAAGTTAGGCTTTGCGATGATTAGAGCTAGCTTTTGATTGCCACCTGAACAGTGTTGGTAAATACACCTAGTTCAGTGCCTTCCCATAACCACTTGTTTCATAGGGGTTAAAAGATTTCTCTGCTAACACTTCTGGAAATTGTTACTAAACTATTGACCCTTATTCTATCAGTTTTGTTGCTGGCATATTTGATATTCCCACATACACAGGCAATGTCACTAGTATAACAGTTCCCACTTTACTAATGGCAGCTGTCAAATGCAATTGATTAGAAGACTTAATCTCATTTCAAAGGAATGGGGAAAAAATGCTCATCTTAGAACTAGAGAAAAGTACAATTATTATAAAACCCTAAACATTCTCCAAGATATTTTCATGGAATTGTGGATCATTCAGTGGCCCAAAGCCTCCTTTAATTAAAAACTATTTTCCTGAATGAGGAGAAATAATGATACACTTTTTAACATAGAGCAACAGTGGGAAGGGCACAATGTGGTATATTATTTATGTCAGTAAGCTAAAATTTTTTTTTCTTTGATCATTTTCCTCCTAGGAAACCAGTGTTAATGGGTACAGAAGCATAGAAATAGCATCATATTATAAAATGCTACCTTTTCTATGTTTGATCCATTAGCATAAACTTGAATAAATAAGCTTGACAGATTCAGAATAAAATTTCCCTTAGAGTCCATTAGCCTGAGCATGTGGAAATCCTGTGGTACAGTTAACCCTTAAATGAACAATTTGATGAGGCATGTTTTCTATGAGCCTAGCAATTCTTTGGCTGCAAAACACTCTAAAACCAAGCTTTGAATGTTGTTTCTAGTTACTACTGTTTTCTGTTTCCACTCCCCCCAAGTTTGGCTGAAATATCTTAGTGACATTGATTGCTTCAAAAAGATTCCTGCTGGGATTTTTTTTTCCTTAGCAAATGTAATTTCTGATTTAAAAACCTAACTATAACTTTGCTCTCTCAATAGGCGGATTCAATCAGTATCCACCACCAGTGCTTGAGAATACCTGTAGACTCATCAATTCAGAAGAAGAAGATAATCAAAACAGTGATCTCCTGTGAGTTAGAAATCTCTTCTATTTATTTATGAGACTGTTAATGGACTGATGGCAGGTTATTAGGTTGAGAAAGCTAATAAGGTCTCTAAAGGCTTCCCCATGTATTCCATTGTCTGGAGCAGAAGCTACACAGCAAGCATGCTTTCTGGATTGATGTTTCTGTAACTTCCTCATGAGTTGTATTACAATTTTTCCTTTCAGTTCATGGTTTCCTGAGAAATTCCCACATTGAGATCTACCCCAGAATAGAACCCACAATATATGCTTAGCCACTGCAACCTCACTTCCCACCCTTCCCCAGCATCAGCACTGAGTTCTGGCCATACTGGACTCTTATCTGCCTTGTATGAATGGTTGCTTCACCCTCCTGGGTCTCGGGTTACACTGCCTGGAACTCTGTTCCTTCCAGTGAAATCTTACCCATTGTCCATGGCCCTGATGGAAGATGTCTCCTCTTTGAGGCCCGTTTTTACTTTCAAAGTCCTTACTTTCTTGTATCTTCTTATACTTCTGTGGAAGCACTTATTACAGTTTATCACAATGTCTTATCTCCCTGAAGCCTGGGGTTGTGTACAATCCATTGTTTCAACCCCCCCAAAAGATAGCATAAAAGACCCCACAATATAATTGCACATATAAGCATTTTTTTCCTTAAAATTGTATCCTAAATAACGATATAAATAATTAATCTGAATGAATCTTGAACCTCAAACAGAATGAATGGCCCTTTGGTTTCTCTCTGCTTCTCTATATTTCACCAAGCTTGGATCCCTAACTGCAGCTTTGCAAAAGCCCAAATATAAGCCCATAATTACTTTCTTCCTCTCAGATTGCAGTTAAGGAAAGAGTTTCTCAGAACAGATAAGGTATCTCACACATATCCAGAAGCACAATGACAAGATGATGCATGCTCAGAATTCATACAAGTACATATTCCTATAATGTCAGATTTCATTCACTTGGTAGTTTAGCAAGGAAATGTCCAGTAGCCAACACCTGAAGAACACTATGGCACTGATGTCATGTGAAGCAATATTTCCCAGCATTGAATAAGACATAAATTCATTTAAAGGCAAATCAATTCTTAGAGAACTGCAGATAAAATATATGTTATTCAAACATACAAACATAAACCTAGCTGCAAATACTGTATTTATAGTTCTTGTGCAACTATCAGACTAAAACAAATGTGCATAGAATCCAACCAGACTCAGTAAAACACAAATTTAAAGTGCTAATTTAATATAATGGATGATTCTGCTTTGTCAAGATAGAATTCCTAAAAACAAAAATTATGGTTCCTATTGATAAAAAAAAAAAAAGTAAAACATGATGCATGTTGCCGAGGTACACCTGCTTTTGGCTTGCCTACTCTGTACATGACACCTTAATTCCTCACTGCTGTCTTCACCTGTACTATTACAGAATTGTCATTCATATCATGTGTCGTCATATCATTTGGCTTTAACTTGGTGTGAATGTATTATTCACATATTATGTTTGAGTTTTTTTGCCTTTCTTCATTAACTCCCAACAGTTAAAGTAGTATTCCCAAGTGCCAAACTGTAGTATCAAATACAAATGTGAACATGAAGACATTGAAATTACATAAAGGTGCATATCAACTTATATCAAATGTGTTTTCTATCGTCATCTAAAAAAACACATCCTCAAATTATCATAGAGAATTCTTAAACTCCTAAGAATATAAATGTAGACACCATTTTAAGAAATATGATGTTGATAAGTTTTATATAGTCTTATTCTTTTCAGAGCAGTCCTTGGAAAATTAAATATCTGTTTTCTTTGTTTTCTATGGGGAGTGACATCAATCTGAGAGATTATATGCTTGTTCCAAATAACCTATGATTGAGTTTCTTCTTATTTACCTAAAACTCTGTGGCAAATCAGACTCGGTTTATTCCAAACTAGTAGTTACTAGGCTATAAGCAGATGGGGGAAAATGAAAGATAAATGGGAATTGTTTATCAGTTTATACTTTTTAATAATAAAAAATCATAATGAATAATTTACTGAAATGAATTTAGATTTTTACCACTCATTTTTCTTCTAAGAAATGATTAAGTAACTATATCAAATCACTGGAATATTTTATTTGCATTCCTCAAAGCTACCATCTAACACTTTCATTTTTATCTGCTAGATTTACTCCTGAGACACATGAGTTTTCTTCAGGAGAGGACAGCTTCATTGGCCAGGAATTAAGTACTAAAACAGACACATCTTTTGTGTGGGAGAATGGTGGAAGTGCCCATGTGGCTTACATAAACGACAGGGTTAAGCCACAAGGATTAATGATCACATATGAAAAAGGTCAGGATTCTGAAGGAATTGCAAGTTTTACTTCTGGTAAGGAAATGAAAACTTACAATGGAATTTTTAAATTATGGGGTCCTCATCTTTTAACACGAGCAGAGAATCAAGTAAACGAAGGCTGTTCTCTTAGGCAACTGTTTTTCAAGTTCAAGATGGTAGCTACAGCCACTGCTTTGGTTGAAAATTAAGGTTTAAAGATGACAGGCACCACTAATATGAGCTCTAAGAGATGTCCCTGCTATCCTCATCAGACTTAAGATTTCTCTAGAAGGATAGTGTGATGTAGAAGGAAGTGATAAGAGAACATCGGAGTAGAGGAAAGATTAAAATCACTATAAAAGCTGGCCTGGCCAGCACTTTGGACTCTGTGATTGCATGAGAAGGTATGTTATTTTTGAGGTACTTAGAAATGACAGAGCACAGACTTTCCCATTGCCTACTTTATACATTTGAGTGGCAAAGCAAGAATACCTTCTGGCAGGATTTAATAGTTTCAAATAAATCAGATGCATAGGGTTTTTGTCTGTGTTTTCATGAAAAGGGGGGGGGAGCATTCTAAACAGACTTCAGCCATTTTAAGCTGTGCATGTAGAGGCTTCCAAAACATTCATTTGGCCAGAATACCAGCATTTAAAGCATTAAGTCATAAGTATCATGTATGTTGTTAGACAATGCAAGTTTAAAAAAAGGGGAGCCAATCTGAGGTCAGTTATTGCTAAGAATGAATCACATTCATTCTCAGTAACTTGCTTGGATAAATACTTTTTCTTTTCCTTGGGTTCAACACTCACATCTCCACAGTGTCCCCCTATTTATGAAATATAAATATTTACACTCACCTTTAAAACAACCAAACTTTCCTTTTTGAAGCTAGGATTAAGAATAAAAAGGTCAGGGGGATCCCTGGGTGGCTCAGTGGTTTAGCACCACCTTCAGCCCAGGGTGTGATCCTGGAGACCTGGGATCGAGTCCCACGTCAGGCTCCCTGCATGGAACCTGCTTCTCCCTCTGCCTGTGTCTCTACCTCTCTCTCTCTCTCTGTCTCTCATGAATAAATAAATAAAATCTTTAAAAAAAAAAGAAAAGGTCAATATCATTAGTTGAAAAATAAAGCTTAAAAAACATAATGCACTAAAACTAAATGTCTATAGTACCATGTCATCAAGGCATTTAACTATGTATATTTTTTAGTTAAACAATTTTTATTATCATATAGACCTAGCTTACAGAAGAGGATAAGATATTTCTTCTTTTTAGTGGATAGAATTAATTTTGGGTGTTCATTTCAATGATAAGGTACAGGAATTTATTATGGTTTGGTTTAAAAAAGAAGAAAAGGGGGGGAAAAGTTGTTTGGCAGGATTAGAATACCAAACTATCAATTGTGATCATTTTGTTAGAGGTAAGCATTCTAAAGTCTAATAATTCAGAAATGTGAATCTTTTCAGGAAAAGATAGATATAACTGGATATTTAGGGGAAAAAAGAGAAAAAGAACTCATCTTTGTTGCCATTTTTATTTTTTTTATTTTTTTTGTTGTTGCCATTTTTAATAACCATTATTCAGTAATAACAGAAAGACTTTATTTGGTTTACTAGATGTTGAGGAATCAAGATACTTGTAGCCAGTGGAAGGTTCATTTCGGCCAAAGAAATCATTGTACATGGCTCTACTAGGAAAAAATGTAGATGATTAGCTGCCCCTCCCCACTTCGTTTCTCCTGCAGTGGGTTGAAGTGTGCTGGGAGTTCCGTGGAGGATTATGTCATGTTGTGGTAGCCTGCAAACAGTATGAGCCTCAGATCTAAGGATAATATATATTTTTTATCCAGTAAACTAAATCTGAGTTTCAGATCATAAGTGTTGCCTAGGGATTTTGTGCTATTTCTTCCTTCCTTTCTTTTATCATCTTTAGCCAGTTGCCAAAACCTGCTGAGGACTTTCTATATAATGCGCCGTCCTCATGAAGAGTACATTGTGGTTTTGATATTTTATTCAGTTGCTAAGAGATGAGCTTTGATTAGTTCCAGATGTATTGTACAGATAGAAGGTTGATAACTTGCATAAACACCCTCATATGCTGTGCTTGTTACTCATTTGTAATGTGATTCTTATGGCTGATGGCTGATCTTTCTGCCCTTGAACTGAGAGTCTTGGGGGGAAAGTCAGGAATCTGAACCACTTAAGATATGTATAGTTTCCAGAGTCCTGTGGGCTGGTAATGAGTTGTGTATTTTCCTCGAGAAGCACAATCACTATTTCTCTACCTATGCCTCTCCCTCTGATTTCCAAGTTCATCTTCAGTTTCATCACCTTTCCTGGCCCTCTCTAATCCTTACAACAGCTGAAGGACAGTTTGTATCAGAATCACCTGGAAGTCCTTTATAGCCATAGATTGCTAAGCCCTCCTCAGAACTACTCCTTCATATTTAGGGGTATGAGTGGTGGAGAATAGTCTAGAAACTTTAAAAAACCACCAGAGGTAATTTTTATATGTCCACAAGCTTGAGATCCACTATCCCAAGGATTCTCAAAGTGTGGTCCCTAAACCAGCAGCACCAGCAGCACCTGGGAACTCATTAGAAATGCAGCTTTTCGGGGATCCCTGGGGGGGTCAGCGCCTGCCTTTGGCCCAGGATGTGATCCTGGAGTCCCAGGATCGAGTCCCGCATCACGTTCCTGGCATGGAGCCTGCTTCTCCCTCTCCCTGTGTCTCTGCCTCTCTCTCTCTCTCTCTCTTTCATGAATGAATAAATAAACAAAATATTTTTTAAAAATGCAGCTTTTCAGCACTCACCCAGACCTACCAAATCAGAAACTGGTGCTGGGGCTCAGGAATCTGAGTTTTAAGAAGCAGAGCAGATGGCTCTAATACAGGTGGTATTTTAAGAACCGCTGTTCATCCTACTACTTTGGTGGGCCAGATTTGCTCTGCGTTCTCAATGGAGCTGAAAGCAATTGAGTATCTGTACCACAAAACAGAGGTGGGAATTCCTGTTTCCAAAGGAATCCCCATGAACTGCATAATAATTTTATTTTACTCCTCTAAGACCACTGAGCGTTCATGTCTCCCTCCATCCACTCAACATCTAAAAAAACACTTTTTAAGACCTAAATAATATAAAGATAATGTAGAGATGATATCATGCATTTTGACCACAATATGTGCAATATAAAAATTCTTTGGAAAACTCAGTCTTTCTTAATTACTTACCAAAGGAATACACACAGTACTTAGGAATTGTGAAATGAAAAATGGGTGGTTTAATTCTAATTAAGTTGCAACTGTTGACCCAGGGGCGAGCCAGTACTGTCATCAAAGATACTGTGCTAACCAATATTTAAGATATAGTTAGTTGATTTTCAAGATTAAAGGACAGGATAATTTGTAATGAAATGTTGAATACAATCCAAACTGAGGCTGGGGCTCGCTCACAGCTTTAAGAGGTCATAGGCCATAGGATAACTTCAACTAATGTTCTTTTCAATGAATTTCACTGAGAAATGCGAAATAACACTTCTCCCTTAGAACTAGCCTGGAATTCTGTTTAAGGGAATTTGCATAGGCTCCATTTTACATTTTTTATTTTTCGAACATTAATCTGATTCTGAACTACAAACCAGCTTTTTTTTTTTTTAAGTCAATATGTCTTTTGACTTCTACTCAGTCGTAGGGTATTAGAGCTGGAAAGGTATTTAGTAATCACCTCTTGCAAATTCACCCGGGGGTGATTGCATTTTACCCACCCTGGGAGACATTGCAATGTCTGGAGATGGTTTTTGTTGTCCCAACTGGAAGGTGCTACTGGCATCTAATGGACAGAGGCCACAGACTCTGCTAAATATTTTACAATGCCCAGAACCTCCCCTCACAACAAAGACCTATTTAGTCAAACTGTCAATAGTGGGAGAAGCCTAGTTTTAGAAGAAACTTCATGCCCCAAGTTCTCAGAGTAGGGACTCACAATTCCTACACCCTGTCAACTATTTCCCTGTTATACTCTCAAGAGTCTGCTAAAAAAATCTAAAAAATTATGAAAGTACTATCATATCATATAAGATTTGAATACAAAGAATCTCAAATAATTTAGCAAAAATTATTCATAGTGTAGAGTATATTCTTTGTTTTTTTCCATAGGTATATAGGTTTACATCATTTCATCCAATTGGATATCCTGCTTTTCACATCATATTAATGTCATACATTTTGCATATTGCTGCAAGCTTCATACTGATTTCTCTGTATCTTATGTTACTTTCAATGAATGAATTTATCTCGAACACTTAGCTCATTTCTAATTTTTGCTGTTATGTATTGAATTTGAATATATTATCTTGACTTCTGCTGAACTTAAATCCATTCTGGACTTAAAAATGCAGCAGAATTGGCTTCTAAGTCACCTGTGGAACACCAGATGAATGTCCTACTTTCATTACAGTACACATTCTAAAGAGGAGGTCAGTAATAAAATTGTGGTCGTTATCTGAATTTTAATGATGTGTGTTTTCCTAAAAATTTTCCTAAAGGGAAATTTCAACCATCTTGATGTTCTTTGGGGAATAAACTGATTTTCCTGATCATATTAAACTGTAGGCTGAGGTGGTTGTGTTTACTTTTGCTTGGGAATTTATTATATTGTTATTACAGTTTTGAGTGTCTCCCATGAAGGTTTTGAATGTGGACAAAACTAATGTGAACTGATTGTTCAGGATATGTGGACTGTTTGAATTCAAATGTACACTGAGGTTGCTTCTGTATGTCTCATGCAATCATTTATTGCAAGTAATAAAGCAATGTTCTAGAATACTAGTGACATTTTTTTCATGCAGACCCCTTTCTTATGGAATAAAACTTGGAAATAGTAATTGGGTGATAGTGGTGGTGGTAGAGGGGGTTGTGATGACAGAGTTGGCACTGGTTGCAGTGATAGGAAAGACAGTGGTGGTGAAGGTGTTAGCTGTTGCTGATGGTGGTGGTAGAGGTGGGTGGTAGAGATGTTGATGGTGGAGATGGAGGTAGGGGTAGGAAAGTGG